TGATCGATTCTGAGCCATGCAACCCAGAGTCTCCAAACATTGGTTACGATAGTCACACGGACCCCAACCAAGTAGTCTGCATCTACCAACGTGGCTCAGTATAGAAGTTAGTGACTTCAGTGACTGATGCCACATTTTGTTTTGCCCGCCCACAACTTTCTTCCAACCATCTCCAACACCAGTCAGCATTGCGTGTCGTGGTAACCGGTGTTCAGGCATACGTAACACGTGGCTCAACCATATTAGTCGATGAAGACTTACAACCTCATCAACTGATTTGCCTTCATTCCTTAATACCCTGCGTCTAACCACACTATTACTTACCCGGTGATCCCAGCAGATGCCAGCAATATTTCTAAAACATCTGTGGTCAAATACTAGTAGCTTACGAGTATATTCTACTCGTAATGGCCACATTTCGCAGCTGTAACGTAGAACAGAACGAACTACCACACAGTATACTCGTCCCTTACTTGATAGGCGGATATCTCGCCTTCGTCATAAGGTGACATAAATTGGCAAAAGCCAAAGGAGCTTTCTGAATCCGTGCAGAGATTTTTTCATACACCAACCTGATCAGATTTCCAAGATAATTGAAGTTGACAACGCGTTCTACAACTTCATTCCCTTTCCTTAGTTCAGGTGATGACACAGGCCAGTCTTGAAGTAATAACTTGCAATAAAGAAAGAGAAACACATTGCAAACCTCCTGGTGTTGTTGCTCAGTGCTACCAAAAGACTCTTCATGTTATCAGCGTTTTCACCAAACAGGAATATGTCATCTGCGTATTTTAAGTAGATAGGTGGACTTCCTGGAAGGAAATCAGGTCCTGAAAATTCGGACGACTAGAACGTTATTTTGAGCAGCAGGTCGTGTGGGGATTATGTGGCCGATGCAGCCACGACCAGGTCTGAAGCCAGCTTGATTTTCACGTGTTTGCAGTTCACGAGTCTTAGTTAAGCGACCGATAATTATTGGGGCTAATATTTTAGATGCTATGTTAGTCAAACTAATCCCTCTATGGTTGTCACAGGATGATTTTGACCCTCTCTTATATATAGGGACAATAAGTGATTGCGACCAGTCAGATAGGATTGCGTCCAGCTCCCAGAGTTTAGCTAAAATATTAGCCAAACTAATCGCTAAAATTGGACAATCATCCTTAAAGACCTTTGTGGTCACTCCATCTAGACCAGCTACTCTTCATCGTTTCAGATTAGCTATGGCTTTCTAAACTTTAGCTAGCGTCGGGAGACCTACTTCAGTATTTCATTCAGGTTGTCTGAGAATGGTGGGTAGTTGTAGAGTGTTTGAAGGCCAGATGAACTGCTCCTTAAAATGTTTCGCCCGTCGTTCTAAACGTCTGGACTGGGAGTAGATAAGTGTCGTCTTTTTCCAAAATAGCCTCACTTACACTTGACTCATTACTTCCGGTTTCTTTTATTAGTCTGAAAAGCTGTCTGGTGTTACTTACAGACACTACCATTTCAATCTCTTTTGATTTCGTTTCCAACCACTACTCACGGTCGTTCCTTGGACTTTTGGTTAACCAAGATCTGATTTGTTTTCAGTGACTAATCGTTTCGTACTATTTAACAACATGTTTAAAGTTCATAGAGAACACATTCAGGCTGGAGATAGAACAATATATTTAATGTAAGTAGAGAGAAGTTATACAGAATCACTCTTCTTGCAATGCTGAGCCATGTCATCCGATTGGTTTGATGTTTCCGCTTTTCACAGTTGACTTCTTCTTCGTGCCAATTGCTGTCGACTATGAACTAGTCAACCCGAGTTGCTACAAGATCTACGTTGATCCACTTAAAAACAGATCCCACTGCTTCGTTTGCTTCATCGATTTGCTGTCACGTTGATTATTTCCGAGTTATTTTTCACTTGCTGGAAGAACTCTTCACTTTTGGTAACGGCCTAGATCCAAACTATCCTACAGGTGTTATTTTTGTCTCTGAAGTATACAGGTCGTGACAATAAGTTCTCCCACGATGTGGTGTTAGTGCCATTTACAGTAGTTGTTTTGTTCGTTTAGAGTCACCCATCAGGAGAGCAAGTATTACTTACTTGTGCCTGTTACTCCCAATGAAGCATAGGCCGCCGACCAGCATTCCCCAACCCACTCTGTTCTGGGCCTTCTTTTCTAATTCTAGCCAACTCTTGTTCATTTTTCTCATGTCTATCTCCATTTCACGGAGTAATGTGTTCTTTGGTCTTCCTCTTTTCCTTTGGCCTTGAGGATTACATGTGAGGGCTTGTCTTGTGACACAGTTGCGTGCTTTCCTCAATGTGTGTCCTATCCACTTCCAGCGCTTTCTCTTGATTTCTTCCTCCGCTGGTTTCTGGTTTGTTTTCTCCCACAGTAGGTTGTTGCTAATAGTGTCCGGCCAACGGATTATTTTGCGTAGACAACTATTAATAGACACCTGTATGTTCTTGATGATGGCTTTCGTAGTTCTCCAGGTTTCCGCCTCATACAGTAGAACTGTCTTGACATTTGTATTGAAAAGTCTGACTATGATGTTGGTTGACAGACAGTTGTTTTGAGTTCCAGATGTTCTTCAGCTGCAAATATGCTGATCTTGCTTTGCCGATTCGCGCCTTCACATCTGCATCAGATCCATCGTGTTCATCAATGGTGCTGCCCAGTTATGTAAAGGTTTTTACATCTTCCACATCTCCGTCAATTGTGACTGGATTGGTGCATACTGTGTTGTATGGGAGAATCTCGCTTTTCCCTTTGTATATATTGAGACATATAGCTGCTGAGGCTGCTGCTACACTGGTTCTCTTCTCCTGCATTTGCTGTTGCCTGTGCGATAGAAGGGCCAGATCATCTGCGAAGTCTAGATCGTTCAGCTTCATCCTAGCTGTTCATTGTATCCCGTACTTCCCTTCAGACGTTGATGTCTTCATGACCCAGGAGATCACCAAGAAAAAGAGAAAGGGTGAGAGTAAGCAACCTTGCCTAACACCGGCCTTTATTTCGAACGAGTCTGTGAACTGTCCTACACGCACGATTTAGCAGTTTAGTCCACTATAGGAATTCCTTATGAAGTTGACTATCACTTCAGGCGCACCATAGTGTCGAAGAAGCGTCCATAGTGTTGTCTTGTCAACGCTTTTAAATGCTTTCTCGTAGTCAGTGATGTGTGGAGTGGTGTTAAATGATGAATTTCACCCAACTGATTGTTCCACAATGACATGGACGTTCATTCCAACCGTATATTGTGAAGGTGTTATTTTCGCTTCCTATTTAACATATAGCACTGATGTTTTGGCTTTAAATTAGATTATCATTCCTTATTTTAGTTTTATAACCCCTCCAAATTAGGCGACTACATCTTCGGGTTTGAATATTTGTAATTGGTATCGGTCAAATTGATCTATCCATATTAGTTAGGATGATTTAAGCTGGGGCAGTAACTTTATATTCCTCAAATGTAATGAAAGAAATATGCCGAAAATCCTCCCAGAGTGTTTATTTGAGAGTGCTGTTATTCCTTAGCTTCTTACATTATATATTTCAATGTGCTCCTAGGGCTCGTATAACCAAGCTGTTATATTTTCTAGTGTTTTATGACGTGGCTTTTATCATCTGACTTCGATTAAGATTGGCCTACTATCGAGTTTTCTTGTTGAATGGTGCTACTTTATTGTTGGTAGGTGGCGGGGTTGAATGGTTAGTAAATGCTAATCGTTGACTATCTTCTGAAATCAGTCATTTCAATATTTGTTGGGGGATGTTGGAAATGCATTAACTAACTCTCAGAACGTTACTTCTGTGCAAGAAAATTTTCGGATTACATAATGCTCTTGCACCGTTTGATAACCAGTTAAAAAAAGGAAACAGTTTGTCTATGGTTTATTTTAATGCAGGTGACTCAAAAAGGCTTTCCATGCCACATAAGATGACGTAGTTCTACTTGGTCGAATCCACCTTAGCTTTTTGGATTGTCCAATGAGTTTGGGTCTAATATTGATATTTCGTTGCTATACACACTTTTAACAAAGTTTTGGCTGGTAGAGTTGCTCTACATTTAACCGGTAAAATTACGTTTCTAGTCAGCCATGAACACAATGGTTCGTTATAATTACCCTTTGAATTATGATCTACTTCGTTATTAGTACTGATGTAATAATGGACCTAATCTTAATATTATAGATTTGTCATGTTATGACTGTTTAATCCACAGGTCTTAAGTGGAAGTCACATCATTGTGTACCTGTTGAAATTCGCGGGGTAGTGCCTTGACTACTGCGAGGAATTGTGCACGTGTGTCGTTCACGCCATGCTCGTAGAAGTTGGCTTCAGCGTAGCAGAAGCAGGCTTCGATGTTCTCTGGCTAGAAGGGCATCAGTTCGAACGAAGGTGAGGATATTGTCTTTAACTTAAGTACATTGGGTGTCTGTTCAGTCATGGTGAAATACCAAGTACAAGAATGAATGCGTGAAAAGAATCCAGAAACACGAAAAAATACCACAATATATAAAAATTAAAATAAAGCAATGATTAATGAAATTCCAAAAAGGAACAGACAGCTTGCAATTTGGCGTGCCAGATCACGTTGGGCTCACCAATGAAGATGCCACAGGCATTTTAAGTTTGACAACGCTTTAACCAGTAACACCTAATATGAATCGTACCCACCAAGTGAAGTCAAAAGACAGAAGCGAGTGGGTTCGAAGATATATTTGATAGGCTATCAATATATCGAGGATCGTCCGATCTAATCTAGCTAGCGATTGTATGGGATGTTGAGCACGGCGTCCCCACTCGTGATCTGGTGCGGATGCATGACCGAGCGCCTTCAGCTAGGTGAGTCCATTAAAACTAATGTGGTCAGCGTCCAATGTCGAGAACTTACAGAGCTATTTATTTTGGGGATTTATTTACCACCACATCACGTTTTCCCTTGACTACGATCATTTATGTATGAAACATTCGACAAGTTTATTTAAAGTCGGGCGTCCATACATACATCTGATGCATTTTATTGTATCAAAAGGTAAATAATCGACCATCTGCAAATGGCATCTTTTTTCTTTAACATTATATTGTCAGTTTCCTACTGAGTATTAAAGAACAATGAGATCTTCTAAAAAATGGTTCAATACTTTGAGGAAAAATATCTTCGGTAATGGTAATTAACATCGCACACTGATCGTGACACATAAGCCAACTCTTAGTATTTGTTTCAATCTTTGTGGATGCTAAAGAGCGCGTGAAAAAAGGGTAAGGGCTTCAGCTGCCGAAATTGGTCCTGTTTTACTGACGAGATATAAGCAATGAACCCTTAGTTTTTCATTTATAAGGGGTTGTTACAAATTTTATATATACACTACATCTCAAGTAGTTTAAATACTGGTTTTTTCCACAGGATGTAATACCGATATCAGGTTTCATTATATTCCAAGCGGGTTCCGATGTTCCTTAGACGATAAAAGTTTGGAAATTCTCATATTAGTACGCACTGGTCAATGTCACTTTTTTTGTACGCGAGATCTCCACTGCTTCATATATCTTCTGCTCATATATCCAATCTCCCAATTTTGTGGAAATAACACAAAAAACTCCGAGATTTCACCTGGTCTGGAAAAATTTCTTCAAAAATGACTTGAGATCTTTTGGTTTTCCCAAATGTCTTCCTTCAGGTTCTCCAAACTAGGTAAAAGTACGGATTTTCATACGTATTTTGGGAAAACCCCGAATTCCTAAAATTCAGGACACTGATTATCTGTGAAGTGTGTACAGCACAGTATTACTTGGCACAATTATGCGCTATACCAAGTTTTCATATTTCAGTCAAAATCACAAGGGTGTCGATGTTAGTATGCAACTAAACGTAGAGTGCAACCTACCGTTTCTGGGAGGAATATTTTGTCGGTTTTTGGGAAATTCGATGTAACTTAATTTTATTAGAAAAATTTAGGGTTTTCCCCAATATTTCCTGAAAACTTACCCAGACCTTGTGGGGTCTCTTACCATTCCTTCTTGTGCTTGCGGCTGTTATCACTATAGTTCTCTTCTTCTGTTGGTTAGTTCGCACTGATTTTGCAGGCTGAAAACTAGCAAAATGGTCTTCATACGCACTAGAATCAATGTTGTTGTATGGTAATAACAGCCACCTTCTGAATGAGTTTGTAGTGTCTCGAATTGCATCCACTCACTTATCGCCTTCAAAGGTAAAGAACAGCCATCGAATAGATAGTTAATGCTGAAAGTCACATAAAGAGTGCAAACGTCCGGGCTCGGGTTAAAAAGCTCCATGAGAATTGTTAGTAAATTATAGTGGCACCGTTTGAAGTCAGCCATATCGCCGAAAATTTACTTTTCTATATAGGTTTCGAGATTAGTATTATTCCATAACTTTCTCATCGACCTCTATAGCCCTTGATGTCGGGGTTGGCTTACTGGGAAACTCGATTGGTAACGTGGGATACGCAAGTGACATAGTTATGTAGTGTGGCAACCTAAATCAGTGCACGCATGTACCAGGTTCCGCGTTGTGCATAATTGACTTTCACAGAACAAGCTGACACGTTTATTCCATGTCCCATAAATGTGGGCAAGCATCATGTGGAAAAAGTATTACTCTTACTCTGATCTACTCCCCTGTTACTTTCATCAGGGCAACTCAGAAGTCTCAGTAGTAAGTCTGTCTCCTAACACCTTTTACTATGTAAAGGCAACTCGATTGTGTAAGGCATTTATTTAAACGCTAACTCTCACTTTCTGAATCTGACAGAAACTGGAAAGAACGACGACTTCCTAATTAAAACACCTCATTTGGTCATGTAATTTAATTTGCAAATAACTAATTAAATCAACACGGCCCGGGCTTAATTTATTCAGTTGCAGTATATATATATATATATATATATATATATATATATATATATATATATATATTCAAAACACCTGCGGTATAATCCTATCCGAATAGGTAGATATTAATTAACTGTCACGACTGATGCAATTCGGAATATCTCACAGCTGCATCTAGATGCTGATTCCTGCTAAAGACTATTTTACGAAGTTATCATTGGTATTGTCCATAATACCTAAATCAATTTCTACTTCCATGGAACTCTAATCAGAACGGCCACACTTCCATATGAGGTAGGCAAATAGTCGATAACTCTACAATATATGACTGGAGTTCAGACCATAGTACCGCTGAAGCTACCATTCCTGTTTACTTTTGGAAGCAGTTTTATCTAAATACAATATTATTCAGTATATATATATCAGTCACAACGAGTCTTACTTGCATTTACTACCGTAAATGGGTTATAACCGCTAAATACTTTGCACAGGATATGCAACAGAGCTTAAGATGAATTACAAAATCCATCTATATCTGCTGATACATTACTTCAATTACAAATAAAATGCTAGATTTTAAAAATAAAACATGTTCTCTTTGATTTTTCCTCTAGGAACGTCATGGTGTGTTACTATGACTCTCAGCTCGATCCATCACATTTCCGTTTGATTCAAGCATCTGTTCCTGAAGTTTTAAAGTGGTTTAGCGATTTGTCCGCTTCTAAGCGTGTAGAATTTGTTTGCGGCTTACTTCAGTTATCTACGCCACCAGAGCTAAGGTTCTACGGCAGCTGCTTGGAAGAGATTGCCCGTCAAGATTACGAAAGTCTCCATGATTCTGAAATACAGGCAAATGCACCCATGGAAAATTATGGTGTTTTAACTTTGTATAATACTGTGCCATTGAATCCTGGTATTTCCACTTTGGTAACTCCAATTTCTATCCCGATTCCTCCCTCATTTATAATATTAAATAACAACCCAACATTGCGATCTAAACTTATTATCAGTCTTTCACTACTTAATTCTACAAATATACCAGCAGCTACAAGTTATTTTGAAATGTTAATGGCTGATGAGAGTGACACACATTCGCCGAATGATCTACAAATATCGACTACCATGTTTAAAACATCTTCCCTTGTAAAATGTAAATCATCTAAGAGTGGGTCTGTTTCATCAGACGACAGTGATGACGAACTGTCTTCAGTAGATATTTTAAGGACTATTAACCCGCAAGTCTTGGATGAAATCATGCTCATTTACACACTTGCGGCATTTCATCCTGCTTTCTCTTTTGACCAGCGACAACGTTTGTATAAGCGTTTATCCATCGTAAAAGCCTTATCCGATCATTCAGTAAAAATTGCTCAACTTGCCAATCAGTATAAAGATCCAAATAAACATGTCCTTAGTGGGTGGGAAAAGCCCCCTCGAAAATCACAGTCTCCATCTAACTATAAACACCATTCCTGTCTAAATTTTCCTGCCAGATCTAATGTTCCGCTGTGTCCTGCACCAAGACAATGTCGTCTTCACGGTGACCAAAGCTCCATCAATCAAGTAAGTCACACAGTACCACTGAATTTTGTATATATCTGCATAACTAAATCACATTCTACTACCAACTAATTACGTCCCCATTTTCAATCCATAAATTTGGTTCATTTGTGAATTATTTTCTCTCTATTCTATAAAATTCATGAAGCAAGAGAACATTGAACTTTAGTGTGGATTCCAGTCAACTAATGTAGTCACGATATAGCGGTAGTTTGGTAGGCAAAATATTTGACTTTGATTCAATGGTTGACTGATTTAAACCCTCTCCCACTTTAGTTTAACCAGTTAGGTCGTATCCTTATCTATCATACAAACTATGATCTCAAGCCGAGTGCATAAATCTGCTGTTTAAAGAATTCAGTAGTGATAATCCCTATGATCTCCTATCTTAGTAATATGTCTTGTTAAATTTTGATTTTGTCATCATAATCAGATGACTGATAACGTTGATTTACAATCTGTTCACAGTCTGGTTTCAAAAAATATTCCCAGTTATCTAGATGCTAAGGAAATTACCATAGTCGCTTCTTAGTATTAAACTCGGTCGAACTACATACTCGCACTTTTCTGTAATCCAAACGAATTAATCATATATAACAATAAATTCATTCATAACCACATAAGTAAAAGTCGTTATAATATTTACCAGTAAAGTACAATTTCATGGTATCCATATCATTTGCTAAAGATGAGGCAAATTAGGATAATATCAACACAAAGACAAATCTAACACAGTTATTATGAATTAAACCGCGGTTGTACAATGGCATGTAATTATGATTTATAATTAAAAAGAATAGACTAGTCATTTCCGTCTTCATATCTTGGTATGATCAAAGAAACAAATAAAACTGGTCAAGTGCACTTTACATGATCTTGTAAAGGTGAAGATAAGAAGTTCGATTGAAGTGGAAATTTGGGCCTAAACAAGTTATTATGTCTTCTTCGACCTAGTATTCTTGGACGATTCGATTCACTTGATTAGTTTCCAAATTAAAATACGATTTGACCAGAACGTCTGTATATTCCAAAGTAAATAGCAAGTGATGTTAGGATAGTAATGAAATGTCACTGTGTACGTAAAATTTATACAGGAGACGTCTGGTGTTCTCTGCCCATCCCTTAGCTCTGGTTGATTGAAAATTGTTCAGTCAGAATACTCCAACATGGTCTTACCTGAAACATCCTTTTATCGTATCTCCTTACACAAGTAAAAGGAAAATAGATAAAAAATGTTATTTTTTACAATCACCCTTGAGTTCGATGTGAAGCAGTAATACGTCCAGGACTTCTATGACAATGGTATATCAACTACTACATCATTTCAGGTGCAAACGTGCTTGAGTACATAAGGCACGGCTGTTAGCTGCATTACTCGGAGTGAACATATGACATGCGATTGTAACAGCTTCTAAAACCTACCGGGACATTCAAAGCTAACTATTTTTTGATGTCAAGTGATCAGGGATAATAGGGAAAAACCCTCAAAGTCTTTCATGCTAATTAACACCCATCAGAGTGCTGTCTACTGTCTTGAAAAGAAAATTGATATTTTACGTAGGGTTTAAATCCCTATCCCCTTAATTAGTCAAATACGTTACCAATGGGCTACGTAGACCATGATTACTAGCCTTCTGTAGGACCGAGACGTCAATTGTCTGACCACTGAGTGGCAATTATTTTCATCTTACTCTTGGTACTGATTAAATTCCATCGGTCAAGTTGCCACATCTTACTTAGATATGATATCGTATAAATACTAAGACCGAAATTCCGTTTGTTGGTTGTATTAAAACCAAGTTCAATAGCTTTGCAGTTTATTTTATTAAAAAACTTCTTGTCTATTTTAGGACTCCAATAATAATCTTTCTACAAAGTATTCACATTGTGGTTATTTGCTGTGTCATTGCTCACAATGCCGTAAGTAAACAGACATTTTTTCTGACTGAGAAATTGAGCATTTTCGTTTTGATTCCGTTAACTTTTTTTCAGTGATCCAAGTGGATTTGTTTTGAATCCCTGTCACGTTGATTACATTTGATAAGTTAGGCAATAATCATTTATTTAAAGATAAATCTGATACACAGAGGCAAGAGATACAGAGTAATATTGACTTATGACATTAAACACACATGTCGCGAACTACAGGTAGATAAAGGCATGAATGGCAGATATGTTTGCAGCTACTCTTTTCCCAAAGGTTTATTGTTGAACTATAATTGAACGGTGTATAATCGTTGAATTTCCAACAATAAGCCTATGGGTTTTTGGAACATATTTGACTCCTACTATAATCACTTGGTCTTGCATAATCTCATGTATATTATTTTAGGCCACTTCAACTGTATAGTAAATTTGGATAACGATGCGATGTATTGTCATTCAGCAGATAAACTCGACAATTAATAGGACGGAAGAATTAAGTGATCAATTCGTGTTGGGATTCTTGAATGAGTTCATATGGAGTGTTTAAATGGATAAACAGTTAAATACGCATCTCAGCGAAGGGATCTCTTTTCAACGAATTTATTATCAAGCTGTACAATCGTATATATATGAAAATTTTTGTTTTTGTAAAAGTACTAATTCCGTGGGGAAATGTGAACACAGTTAATAAAAAGGTTATAATACTAGATTACGTAATATGAATAATAACAATTACAATAGATTTGATGAACATAATAAGATGATTAAAATGTTTTTGTCATAATAATTTTCATGTATATACGATTGTACAGCTTGATAATAAATTCGTTGAAAAGAGATCCCTTCGCTCAAATTCGTGTTTTAATTTTAATGTTAAAATACGCATCTATACATATACAAATATAGTACATGAGTACAAGTTAATAATTAGAAATCAAAACATCTTATAGGATTATGAATGAAATTCTTAATATTAAAATAGGACTTGACCCTGATCAGTTACGATTGTATATTAACCCACAAATCATGACTTGGTACCTTCATCTGTACACGTGACTACTTTTCGTCTGTATTTCGCTGACCATTAAATTACTAGCATGAACTCATAACTTCTGCGACTAACAGTGTGGTAGTAAATAGTCCAGTTACATAGTTCTCTTTCATTTATTAATAATTGCAACTAGTTATTCAAATATATCGTTTGTGTGGATGAGGCGGAGGAGCGAAAACATTTAATTTATTAGACATTTGTTTGTGGACTGAGACACTGCTCTTGTCCCCAGATCAAACTAGGTGGTCGCTCCCTGAACCTTTGTCCTAGAGGTCTAATTCACAAGACAGTAAAGTGATGTCAGGAGATGCTATGGCATGTAAACTGGTAACCAAAAAAGGGTTCATACGCCATTCATCCCCCCAGGATTCTGAAGCCCATGTACATAAGTGGTTTGTAATCAAGGTTTCATAACTCCTCTAGATGAAATGTCCGTGTCCACCAACTCGGTTTAAGCCCAAGACGTTCACTTTTCGTCTTCTCACATTCATTAACAACCCGCACTTGTATAAAGGCAGTACGATTCGTTTGGCTGTTTATAAACCTGTAGCCGTATGAAAGCACTTCAAGAGAAAATAGGAATTCTCTTCACCCTCGGTCGCCCCAAGCAAATACAGTTTTGCTTTCCTCCCAATCGCAATTACGGCTTGTAGGTTAGCAATGATACTCAAGTTTTATCATCCATCTTCATATGGTAATAGTATTAGGTGTAGAATTCGAACAACCTTGGAGATGTTTACTGGAAATTACTTTCACATAAAGTCAGTCTTTGCACATAAATAGTGTTGATTGCAAGCACATTGTATGATGATAATAATAGCATGTAGTGTTTTCCGTTTACGGATGATTTAATATTTTTGTGCTTATCTCTGCTATTGTTATGCAGGTCATTATCCATACATTCTTTTTTATCGATCCACCAATTTCTTATATTTCAATCAATTATAGTTAAGCTGATTTGTTGTTTATATGGAAGCAAAACAATCTAGCGATATATGTATCTACGCTTTACTTAAATCAACTTTTTTATTATTGTAAACGAGTCCTTAATATCAATGTAGTTGACGTGATTGGTTACTCTCTGCCAGTAAAACCTTGTTTTTAATACAGATACTTGTATTTTCTGATTGAATACAGAAATGATAATAATATCTCGTCGAAACTAGTGTTGAAATATGGAACGCGTTTTATCGCAGTTAAAGCTAGTGAAACAATAGGAATAGGTTGGTGTTGTTCAGTAAGTTAAGGGTGAAGATAATATGCACTACTGTTAATGATTTGTAAATAGAGGGAGTATGTGCTTAATTTGTAGGAGAAGAGCTAGAATAATAGAAACTTAATATCAAAACAATGACTGCGATTCGCACTACATTATAAACGACACCTAGTATCAATCAACTACTACTCAGTCTTCATCAGCTGTCTAAAGAGTTTTTCTCTATACGGTGTTTGTTCTTGCATGGTCGGGTTTACAAAATGAAAACCGTGATACTGTCTGTCAAGAGCATTTTATCGAGATCATTCTGATGGTGGTAAAATATACTTCTAACTCCATAAGTGAGAATCAAATCGATGACTACCATTCCCGTTCCAGTGTTTGATAAAATATCAAGGTTTTTTAGGCTATGAAATTTTTCCACTTAACTAGACTTGTTTATCGTCGAATTAAATCTTATCATGAGAGAAGTAAGTTTTCCAACTGATTACTCATTGTTTGAAATGCTTTTGAATTCCGTTCATACGAAGAACAAACACTTGAACAACGTATGTTTATCGAATGAGTTTTAATTATAAATGTTTTTGCTGATATTTCTTATCCAGTAAGTGATACTGTTCGAATTGCCAGGACCAGGTAGTTTATGAGTGAGTTTCCACTTCTCCTTATGTGACAAAAACAAAACAGCTTTGCAAACGAGCTAATACATTTTCATTTTTGGATTGCAGTGATGATATCACCTCATTTGTTACAATATATCAGTTTAAGCCCATAGCGTAGCCTGTGGACGTTCGTTGTCTGGTTATGTTGCACTCCATATCAAACATATATATATATATATATATATATACATATATATATATATATATATTTATATATATATATATATATGTAATCATCTGTTCGTCTAATTTTGCCGAAGTTTAATACTAGCAATCTTATTATTTTGATCAACATTTATCTGTGATATATCATCCACTGTTTCTGAAAATACTTATCGTTACATTTTACAAATATTTCCAGATCATCGAGGTTCTGTAACACGTTCATTACGTCGGCATAGTTTACCGTCAGATTGTTTGCGTTTTTGTGGATATGACAGTGACGAAAACAATAAGGTACGTTTATTCATCTTAACTAGCGGTTACATATATTATTTTTAAATCATACGTTCTTTTAAACATACGTACACTCTCAAAATCTACTTTCTGGCTAGCTATCTTTTTTCTGTTTCCATATCGAACAATTGATTGTAAAAAGGGCAATGAGTATAAGCGACCCTATTTTAAAACGTGCATCTTCAGCAGTTCCCATCCACGACCCAGCAACTGGAAGTCGAACCTAGGACCTTTGGTTTTGCACATGGACGCTTAGTCCAATTGATGTTGAGTAACAGTAATATCAATAATACCTGCTTCTTATCCAGTTCCTTTTAAGCAATTAATATTATAATTAGTTAACCCATTAGACTAATGCGTAATATACATGAACACTAGTTATGGAGTCACACGTACATACTGAGCCTTGCTTCATACTCTAGTTGCTTAATAGAAGAAGTTAATTCATCAGTAACAGTCGGTTGCTGTGATAAAAGTCATTTAAAATGCAATTGAAATTTTATCACCTGCAGTTGGAGACCTTGGGTAACATGACTCACAAGCTGTCACAATGGTGTAGATGCACCTCCTTTTGTCCTTCCACAGACTCACAGTCCTATAATTTTCATGTATTTTTAAAAAAATTTGATATCTAACCGTTTCTAATCCTACTAAAAATGTTAGTACTTTTTCCACTCTGAGATTTGCATACTTAAGATTGTTGCCCTACCTAGAGTACAGGCCGCCCACCACCGGAGATCTCCAATCAAATCTGTCCTAAACTACTCTCCTTTCCAGTTGTTGCTAAGTTCTTTTTATGGTCTTAATATCTGCTTCCGATTCCTAGCACTGTTTGTTCCGTCTTACCTGAAAGCCTCAACTTGAGACTTGGTTTGCGATGCAGTTTAGTGACTTCCACAAACGTCCTATCCACATTCAGCATCTTTTCTATAGTTTCCTCAGCTAGAGGCTGATCTGTTCTCTGCTACAGTTTGTTATTACTAATGGTGTCTCACCAATAGATCTGCATTACCTTGACTGAACATTTGTATAATTTTCTGTACTTTTATGGCGATTACAGTGGTAGCCCTCCCCATGTCAGCTCTGTACAATAAAACTGTCCTAATGTTGGTGTTGAAAATCCTGGCCTTAATCATGGATAACAGTACTTCTGGGTTCCATATTTTCTTCAGTTGTGGAAGTTTTACCTTTGCTCTCCTAGTTCGTACCTCGAAATAACCGAATTCTCCATGTTTATCAATGATGCCCACGATATACGTAAATGCTCCCACCTTTTTGCGAGCTTCGTCACCAAGTGTGGGTTCGTTGGTACTCACCACGTTGTGCTTTAGGATCTTGTTTTTTCCTTTGTGAATGTTGAGACCTACTGCTGTGGAAGCCACTGCTTCACTGGTTCATTCTCTGCATTTATTGTTGTGTATGCGATAGAAAGGTTAAATCATCTTGATGGAGTTTTGTTCTCCAGCTCAGAGAACAAAATTCCATCAAAATCATCCACCTGAGCTACAAATCTTCTCCACCAGGCTAAATCATCTCCAAAGTCCCAGTTGTCTAAAGAGTCTACCGTATCTAGCGCTGCTTCTGAGATGTGAAGGTCTTCATCACTCACCCAACAGCTAGCAAAAAGAGAAAGGAGAGTGGGGATAATTTTCTGACACCAGTTCTCACTTGGAAGGTATCTGTAAGCTCCCTTTCATGCACAACTTTGCAGTTCAGTTCCTTGTAGAAGTTGCGTATGATGCTGAGGATCTTTTCAGGTACTTCGTATTATCGGTAAAGATTCCACAGTGTGTTTTCATCCACCCTCTCGAATGCTTTTGCCTAATTTTGAGAGTTGATGTATAATGATAACTTCCATTGTTACATGACCGATCCTTACGAAAACCAGCTTGTTCGTCTCAAATTCGTTTGTCTACTGAATCTTCCATTTGATCCAGCAACACCTTTAAGAACTTGATCTGGCACTGATAGTAGTGTGATGTCCTTGAGCTCCTTCGGTATTTGATGAAGTATCGCTATTTCCAATTTCGTTGGTACTTGCCGTTTCTTCTGAATCCAGTCGACTCTATGCCTGGCTTCAGTGTTTCAGCTGGTATGATGTTTCATACTGTCACCTTGTCGTCCTTGATATGTCTGATGGCCTTGATGATCCCTGTTTTCTTGATGGAATAAGATTTACAGGGAGTTTTGCGTGTTTCTTGGATTTCCGGTTGGTCCAGTGATAATGGTCGTCTCAAGAGCTCTTCAAAGTCATTTATCCACCTGTTTCATTGCTCTTAAACGTCCGTGACAAGTTTCCTTATATTCATAATTGGTCCCTCTGATCTACTATATATCCTTGCAAGCCTGTTTGCTCTCTCACATTTTCTCCTTCTGTAGCTTTTTCTGCTACAGCTCTCAGGTCTTGTACATATTTTCGCTTGTCAACTTCAATATTCTTCCTCACTCGTTTATTTACTTTTGTATATTAACCTTATGTCTTAGCTTTCTCCGGCTTTCTCTTCGTCTGTTTTTGATCACTGTTTTTTTGTTTCTTATCTCAAGTCTTCTTCAAACCGCCTACAAAAATACATTTATTCTGTTACTTCTTGACATGTTCAAGTTATCGATTCTTTAATTCGTTTCCATTCTTACTCTCCATGGTGGTTTCTTCTTTTAGTAGATCTTGTAAGACTTAGAACTTGTTGCAAAGAGTTATCATGAACTCGCTGTGATTTTTAACACTTCCAGGGAAGGATTTATTAAATTGTTATAGTACTACTTCTATTATCTAGTGCTTCTTTAGATTCATTTTTAGCTTAGCCATCACCAAGTGGTAATCTGAAGCTATATCAGCTATTCTCTTTGTTCTTCCATTGACCTGAATTTTTTTTATACATATGTGTACTTCCTCGTAGTTATTGTCTCCACCTAATGCGTTTATATCCGGTGTTGTCCATCTCGACCTTGGCGTTTAGTTCTCGTCGGGATAATCAGGCCCTATCCTGAGCGTTTCTGTAGTATGGACTGCAGTCTCTTATTGTCTGTGCTGCTATCATTAATGGGTGCGTAGCTTTGGTTGACATTCAGTGTGATCTTTTCCTTTGTTTTGAAGGATTCCTTGATCATTCTGGAGTCATGAGATACCCATCGTATGAGTGCTTTCCGTTCCTCTTTGAACATTCTCAGTCTAACGTCTTGTGTATGTGTGATATATTTACTTCTCTGTGACCATCATAGAATAAAAACTCTCCTGAACTTTGTTTTTTTTGTCTAGATTGTCTACATTGAGTTTCACTTATTCCAAACAGATCCAGGCTGTATCTTCTCATTTTTGTGGCTATTCGGATGGCCCTCCCAGTCTCCCAAATCACCCAGACATTTTATGTACCTGTTTTAATTGTTGCTCTGGTTTTCAGAAGGGGCATTTGTATCAAGGCTCCTAAAAAATCTCGGCTTTCACCATGTGAAGTTATAAATTTCCTAAATAAATACTCTTTGACTTCCAAGGGAGGGTTTAAATAGTTGGAATTATATTTTTGGTTAGTGATTTTTCCTCTACCCGGACTTGAAAGTGACAGTAATCCTAGAGGGGCTCTGAATGCGGTTACTGTGAGATTTAGGTTGGTACGTTACATTTTTCTGTGCTAATGTGGTGTAGCAGCTTGAAATAATGTTAGATTAGTGTGACTGTCTTATTCATCTCAATTGAACCAAGCTTAACAATTGGATTGATGTACACATGTCTCAGGTTACACGATGCATATAGTCAGATAACGTGTTCCATCATATCATAATATACAGTGGATTCTTATTCAATTTGTTTCCACCTGTCGTAATTTAATAGAAATATCTCTGTGTAGTGATTTACGATGAAGATAATCATACTTTTTGAATATTAATATTAAACCATTATTGATCAATGTAATTTGTTGTACAAATAAGGTATTAAGATTTAAGAGATGACCATTTTTATTAATTTAATCTGATAAAACCACTGGAGTCTAATCCGTGTCTTGTATGAGACAAAAAACTTGTTAAATTTTATCAAAGATGTTTGTAGTAAACATTTGAACACAAAGCTACTCCCCTTTCAATTTTTCGCATCAACATAAACTCTTAATGTTGTACATTCACTTTCTTTCTCTTGTTTTTCTCCACATTGAAATGTTTCATTCTATCAGAATAATATTAAAACTAATACTTGTTGATATATAAACATGAAAATTGTTAGGGTTACTTGAAAGGGTATAGTATATATAGCACATGACATTAGACATAAAACAGCACATGTAATTAACCTCTTTTATTAGTTGCTCGTAGTCAGTTGTCTTTTTAAATATTTAGTACTTTTAAGTTCATGTAAAAAAAGCTGTGTATACAGTGATGTTGACTCATTTCATTAACTTTTCGGTGAAAAGTCAATCTTCTCTTCGATTACATTCAGTTGTGTCATCGTTTAAATGTCGTCTGTTAATTCATTCTAAGTATTTAATTACATCAAACTTTTTCTCGTCTTACTGGTAGTAGGAGATCCATAGGAGAATATGTAATAGTGATTTTGACAGTCTTACATACTTGGTTAGTGAAATCAAATAATTGTGTGACCAGTAGTGGGGTTCATTAGTGTCAGTCATGAGACAAATATTGATAATGGTTATGTATGTTAGTTGCACAGTATTGCTAAATATTGAAGATAGGAATATAAATTATTAGATTCTGACTCTTGCATGCTCATTCCGAGGTCTGAAGGTCCTGGGTTCTATTCCTTGTAGGGTTGTGGAGTCCCTAATTAGTATAAAATACCAGTGCGATGATTCTTTGTTTTTGATGATTGTCTAGCTAAAATACAGTGTTGTAAATAACATATATGAAGTTGAATAAAAACCAATGTTCCTGGAAATTAACGCGTTCTCCGAAAGCTTTTCAATTAAATCATATGGCTCAATGAACTCAACATCACCAAAAGCATTCGCCTACCTCAGTTGTAAATCTTCATGATTTCATAGACCACATAATGTAATGGTAGTTTTTTGTCTGAAACAAATTTTCCCCTATCTTTTTAAAAATAAATTATGCCACCTTGATGTTTATTAATTTTTCTGTCCCTACTGTTTCATTCAAAATGCAATTTGTACCGGATTCTCAATGTTTTCACGCTTATTCAACTTAGTTAAAAAGTTGGGACTTATTAAGACACAATGAAATGGCTATAATAAATACAGAACTAAACTATTTGAGAGTATTCACATACTGAACTGTAATCTTCGTAGCTATTCATGCTAATTTGTAGTACTAAATACAAATTTTTCTGTGTAATCAGCTCTTACGAACTCTGTTAGTGTCAGAGAGATAATATGATGGTAATTGATTACCATCATCTTAACTAAACCTGCCCCCAAATGCCCTGGTACGGCCGAGAGTGGGGAGTGTTATATCCTAGTGAAGATTAAATTACAGGTAACTTCCGAGGACTATTAATGGAATCATATTCTATAAATATTCCTATTGTATAATTATTCAATAATTAGATTATGTATATTTATATTCCCCTTATTATAAGCTTCATTTTGACCTATAATTTATTATTATACGATTTACTGTCCCTAAATTATGCAGAGTTTATTAACTACTGCCTCCCACGTTCACAGCCACTTTTTGGCTTTATTGTGTACAAATGTTATTTCCTATTTTATGGTGCGTTGCGATCTGTTTGTTTGATATATAAACACAGTATGTTTGAAATTTATGATTTGCATATTGGGATCTGGTATTGGTGTTCTGGACTCAAGTGAACGGGTTAGGCGGACATAGGACCAATAAGAACGCTAGACTGCTCATACTGATCGAACGTCATTGGTTTGGCACAGTGCTAAGATTGTATAAGTCACATTTTGATTGGTGGATAAATCACGTGATAAAAAGCCGGACATAAAGTCATAACAGGGAGAGTCCGCTCTTCCTTTCGAAATGCTCTCACATGGCCACGCGTATATAGCCTCTGCCAGAAAAGTCCTACTCACTGCCTTCTCGTGGCGGGGCTGTTGTTTACGAAATTGAGAGGACGAAAAGTGAATGTCCGGCTCTTTAACCGGGTTGGTGGACATGGAGAGTCCACCTAGGGGAGTTGGAAAACACTGATTCCAAACCAATGGTGCACATGAGCTCCAGTATCCTGAAGGAACAAATGGCGTATGAACCAATCGTTGGTCACCGGCTACCATGGGACTGCATCTCCTTACATTGCTCCACTATCTTGTGGATCAGACCTTCAGGTCGAAGACTTCGGGTGTGGCCCCCTAAGAAAAACATCTGAATCGGTTTGGGCACTCAGGCAGTATCACATCCCTCACACATATCAAATGAGATCTGTGTGGCGCATATGTATTTGGTGCCTCCTTGTACCAATATCTATGTGTTAAAATAAAATAAATAAATACCTAAACCCGAAGTAGTCCGAGTGTGGGCTCAAGCCTTGCAACCTATTGACGGAGAGTTGCTCCACACTTACGCTTTAGTGTTTTTACGTCCAATAGGTATGTGATATTACACTCATCCCAGAATTCATGATATAATGATCAGTACTTCTTTCAAATCAACTTCTAATACATTTATTTTGTTGATACATCGAAAAAGCATTTGTTGAACAAATCAAATTCTATTGTATAATGTCATCCAGACTTCTGTAATTTGTTTATTTGGAGGATTGCATAGTGCGTCATAACTAATCAGTTTTTTATAAACGAAGATTGTGGAGTAAAATGAATTCATTAAATCATGGTCTTTCTCCCTTATTCGTTCATCTAAAAATCGAATTTACGCAAATATGAAAAGTAATTAAAGTTGTCAGTAGTGGTATAAGTGACTCGATATATGTCACATGCAATATTACATTTTTGAAATACTTAGTTTTCTGATTTCTATCAGTCAATCCGTATATAGAGGAAGATTAAGAGTACATGAAGTAAAATACATACACTTCATTGCTCATAATGTGTTTGTTGTTGTTCTTACTTTCTAAAAATGCCTGTCATCAAGGGAACAAATTGCATTGTATTTTAATTAGTTACACTATTCATTTCATGAAAATTTTCTGGGGAGTGTTTAATTTCTACTTCCCTCTGATTATTTCCATTCCACCCTCATCAAATTCATATACAAGTGAGTTGTAGTTTATTTTTATTTTCAGTGTTTTATATGTTTCTCTCCCTGTTAACTCGTCAATCCTTTTATTGTGCTAACTTGTTATTTATATTTTCTTTAAATTACCATTTTTAGTTAAGAATATTTAACTATGTATCATCGATCGGATTGTATCCGAACTGGATACTCAAAATAAGCGTTAATTGGGCTCCGAATTGTCACTAACACAACAAATATAACACTTTACACCCTAACAACAGGTTAAGATATTAGTTTAAAACACTTAAGTTCGACTCTAAAATTAATATTATCTTCGAACATAGTTACTTTACTAGTCATAGAGGTATGAATTTTAACACAAAAATGAACTATATCATTATTTTTACACATTTTCCCCCTTTCTAACTAGGAACTTATTTCAATTACCAATCCAAGTACCGTAGATATGCATTTCAACAATAAAAGTGATACATTGGATGTATCATCGGTGACAAGCATTCAAAGTGATTCATCATCTATTAGTAGACCAGATGATTCATTAGAGTCTACTAACCGACGAAGGCATGATGCTTTCGGGAGATTTGATGCTATTATTATTATTACTACTACTACTACTACTGTTACTACCACTGCTACTAGTAGTAATCAAAGGTCCAATGATGAACACTATCCTAGGACTACACGTTGTTTATCATGTCGAGAATACGATAGTCAAACTTGTAATGGAGAGTTATCTACTCATGATTCTGATTTGAATTATCTTAAAGAAGTACATCTTTGGTTGAAAAATCCTAATCGATCAGTTACTATTGGCGATCAATTTAATTCTTCTCCAAATACAATATCGACAAAATCTTCAATAAGTTTATCGACTTTATCCGATAATATTCACACATCTTTCCCATCTATGTTATCAAATTCTCAGTCTACATCTAAACTACAGGTATCCGATGTAGTGGATCCATTGTTGTTGACCAAGAACGATAATCATAATGGTAATAATAATTCCAGTTGTTTGGAACAAACACTTCCAGCCAGTGTTTATGATAATCATCTAGACTTGTCTGCTGACTGCCAATCTATTAGCGAACTATGCATAAGTAAGTGTATGTGCGCTTCAATACTCTACTTATTTATATTTCCATATGCATTCCTATTATATGGTTACATTATATTCTAGCAAAATGTAATTAATTTGAACTGGTTAACGGCTTTTCGAGAGGTTCGCATTATTCTTATAAATTGTTCCAGCAAATCACCTTTGATATGATAATATAGCAGTCAAATCAAATTGAATGACGTGTAACGCCATAACTTCTGTTTTCATATTTTTCTCCGAACCTTGCCAGTATTAAAAGACAATATTTTGCCCATAATTAGAAAAAATTGCTTATTCAACAGTATAAATACAGTTCATGTGCACATTTCTTAATGAATATGGAAAAATAGTTGAATCACTTGCACTGATTTACAAACTGTTTAAATTTTACCGGAGTGAAGATTAACTCTGGGATGCAGGTGCATCCAGCTGACGAGTTAAAAATAGGCCGAAACGCGCGTCCTGGATTCCACTGCTAGCTACCATCCATCTCTGCAGTACTTGTGACTTAAAGTAATATCAAGGCAATCCGCACAGGATGCACATATACTAATAAGAGACTGATCAATCGCAGTCCAACAACTAATACAAAAATAAACTATCTAACCATATTATTAGGACAAATAAATAGATGGATATTCACCCCTATATGTTATTTGTCAATTGATGACAATCGATTGAAACTCGGCTGCACAATTTGTATCCTAAATTTTGAAGTTAATTCACCCCCTCTTATGTAGAATTTGAACTCCTTACTGCATAACAATCAAAAAATTACGATTTAGAGTTATGCGATCTTTAATACTAGGTCGAAGCCTAGTAATGGTCGCATTACAGTTTGACTGATAGAATGCGATTAGTACTTAGGAACAGATAATATAATATTGGTTCCTAATATTAATTGATCACTTAGTCTGTAAATATCTGCTTTTATCTGGGAGCGGACCAAAGTATTTACATCTAACTTAACATATTCCTACCATTTTTGTCAGTATTTATTATTTATTTATTTTAACACATATATTGGTACAAGGAGGCACCAAATACATATGCGCCACACAGATCTCATTTGATATGTGTGAGGGATGTGATACTGCCTGAGTGCCCAAACCGATTCAGATGTTTTTCTTAGGGGGCCACACCCGAAGTCTTCGACCTGAAGGTCTGATCCACAAGATAGTGGAGCAATGTAAGGAGATGCAGTCCCATGGTAGCCGGTGACCAACGATTGGTTCATACGCCATTTGTTCCTTCAGGATACTGGAGCTCATGTGCACCATTGGTTTGGAATCAGTGTTTTCCAACTCCCCTAGGTGGACTCTCCATGTCCACCAACCCGGTTAAAGAGCCGGACATTCACTTTTCGTCCTCTCAATTTCGTAAACAACAGCCCCGCCACGAGAAGGCAGTGAGTAGGACTTTTCTGGCAGAGGCTATATACGCGTGGCCATGTGAGAGCATTTCGAAAGGAAGAGCGGACTCTCCCCACTCTCGGCCGTACCAGGGCACTTGGGAGCTTTGTGAGTATTTTGTTGTGATAAAATGTAAAAAAAGATTGGCTATTCATAGTCAATCTCATTTTAAAAATGGTCAGTCCTGTGTAGTTTCACTGAATGATGTAATGGTAGATCATGATTAAAATCATCTAGGTTTTTGGTCAGACGCGCAAATAATCGACTATCTATACTGTTATGATACTAATATGTCATAAGCTTAGTATAGTCTTGTGTAAGAAACAGTATCCATTTAATGCAAATGGCTACTTTAAACATTGTTCACGTTGATTGGATGATCTAATCAGTATATAGTGAACCGGAGAACCATGTACCTATTTATATTCGATAATTTTGATGTTTGATTATATTTCCTTGAAAAAACTTGGACCAGATTGCCAGGCGAAACGTTAGATTTACTTCGAATTCATTCGCTGAGATTTTACTAATAATTCTTTTCTCTTTAAAGTATCAATTTAGTTTATTAATACTCAATAATTGGTGATCACCACTAGTCTTCGGTGTTTCTGTTAATTTTTGTACTCAAAGATTTGACTTCTGAACCCTCTAGTGTCTCAAGAGAAAGATGTGAATTTCTCTGTTCATTATTCGAAGTAGTCAGAATTAGAATTATTCGTCTTTATTATCGTGCTATATTAAACTTATTACTCATATAGGTTGGTGTTCCACCAGTCGGTTAGACCATTGTATAATAATACATTTTAACATATAATATTCGATTTACAACATGATGACTCATTTTGAGACTGACGGTGCTCATAAGAAGCACAAAGCAACAAGTATTCTAGTAATTTATATTAACGTGTTTATTAAGTAAAGATTCGTTTACCTAGCTTCAACTCACGTTCTAAGTTTGAGGACTATTGATCCCATCCAGTTAATCAATTCGAGATAGGTGGAGTGAAATTCACACCTATGACTTATTGACCGAAAGTTGAACACCTTAATTACTGAAGTGATCGTTTTGACAGTAAAGGATAAACTGCTAATGTAGTCGTACCTGAGTAAATCTACTGTCATGTAACACCCATTCAGTCTGTTTTTACCGTCTTGTATTAAGAAATGGAATGAATATCTTCAGATTTATGGCATCCAGTAATAATTAGTCGGTTTTATTTAGAAATATCTCTCTAAAGTGATTGCTATGATCATATTAATTAGTTTTCTCCATTGAATTTCGCTACTGCCTAGATACAACAAGAACCTTAACAGCTTCTGATGGGCCTTCCGTTTATAAAGATCTAGTTCGATCATCTGAGGAATTTACTTCGTGTTCGCCACCGATTAACCTGAGTTCAATGAATAATCCAATGTATTCCTCGTCATCTACATCGAACAGAAGAGTCGTAGCCACAACATCAAGTTCAGACTTTCGTTTTGGTGCTGAGAAATGCTCGAAAACAATATCAGACTTTTGCCCCCTATTTCCAAAGCGTCATAGTTCCGGTTCTTCTCCAATCTCCACACCACCTTCTGAAGAAAGCAGTTCTGACTCCACTGCACTAAAAGCATCTTCACCGGAATATTGGACTCCAAAAGGCGCATCACGTTATTTTCGTGGAATATACACACCATACCAATCTTACAGTCAAACATTTCGTCCTGTTGTGAATCATTCTCGAGAATCTCAAGTAAAAAACACTTCCTCTTCAAGTCGATTATCCCAAGCATCTCATTCGATGGTTGTATCACAGTCCAGTAGTGTATCAAAGCGCAAATCTTACAATCAATTCACCTTGGAGGATTTCCCTTCATTATCAACTTTACGTTCCATGGTCAATGCGGAATCATCAAATGTTTCAACTAAACATAAAACGAGTAATGAAAATTACAGTTCTTTTAATAGTCATATCAATCATAGTTGTAACAACAGTAATGATAATAATAATGCATGTACTCGTCAATTACCGATCACATCCACTACTTTTCCCGCGTCCTCGTGTGAATTACCTAATAGTGTACAAAATTCTCAATTAGATTTTGATAAATTTCCAGGTTAGTTAAATATTTTAAAAGCAAACAATATTAATGATAAATAGTACATTTATTTGTACAGAGATAGGGCTATTTACAATTGATACATGTTGATATATTAAAAAAATACTAAAAAAAAGTATGTTGTCTACATACTGGTTAGTTAGTCCTGTTTTCCCATTTTTATTTTTTTCCTGAAAGATCTCTTATTCTTCATTACTTTAAACATCTAAAACGTATTTTCACAACATAAAATGAATATTTAACTTCGTCATCTTAATAGCAGTATTGTATTGTACAAATTTATATATAGTTAGTCTTAGCTCACACTTTTATGCAAGTGATGCCAGCTGATAATTTTATTTGTTTGCTCAAATCAAAGTAGGCAGTTAAAGTAGGACTTGAACCAGAGACCTGTAATTCTTGGTAGGTAGCTAAGAGTTCTCACCATTACTCGACCACCTTCCTTATTTTTTCTCACTATTTCTATTGCCGTCCATTTTTGGGGACGCCATATCTCCAGAAATTTCTTGTGTAACGTCTTTTAGAAACTTAAATTTATCGTTTTTTGCGCCAAAAGCGGCCATTTTTACCTTCAGATGGTATTTCCCACTTGGAAGGACCTTAAATGTCATTGGTTTGTCACCTCTTTTAATATTCTGTTTTGTGACGCTTCACAAGAACCGTTTTATACTGTATGTGTACGCTTGAATTGTGTGCTTGGTTCGTTCCTGCTTCTGGCTGCTTGTGGAATATACTTTTCCCTCGGCTGAACCTGATCTTCTCCCTCTAGTTAGCCGGGCTGGAGCACATTGAGATAGTTTAGCTTTTCTTTTTGCTGTGTTGCAGATCTTCGTTCCGTTCGCCGGTTTTATTGATGTCGTAATCTGTTTAAACACAACACTATGTTACTAACTTTGTCTCTATTTAGATTAGTTTTGAATCCTGTACTAATATACTCTATCGGCCTCATATTTGCTATAAGTTGTCCTGTAGACATTTATAACATGAAAAATTTAATCACAGGTTTTTTTCCGACTTAAGCATCACAATACTGTTAGTCTTTTAGTCATTTTCGTTTAGGATGTGTTTCTCCCCCTCTAAATGCAAGTTGTTGCTTCAGGGCTGGCCTGCGTCAACACCTAAATTTGTAGAACGCGTCGACAACTTCACTTATCTTGGAAGTCTGATCAGCCCTAGTAGGTTGGTGTCTGAAAAAATCTGCACGGATTCAGAAAGCTCCTTTGGCTTTTGCCAATTTATGTCACCTTATGACGAAGGCGAGATATCCGCCTATCAAATAAGGGACGAGTATACTGTGTGGTAGTTCGTTCTGTTCTACTTTACAGCTGTGAAATGTGGCCATTACGAGTAGAATATACTCGTAAGCTACTAGTATTTGACCACAGATGTTTTAGAAATATTGCTGGCATCTGCTGGGATCACCGGGTAAGTAATAGTGTGGTTAGACGCAGGGTATTAAGGAATGAAGGCAAATCAGTTGATGAGGTTGTAAGTCTTCATCGACTAATATGGTTGAGCCACGTGTTACGTATGCCTGAACACCGGTTACCACGACGCGCAATGCTGACTGGTGTTGGAGATGGTTGGAAGAAAGTTGTGGGCGGGCAAAACAAAATGTGGCATCAGTCACTGAAGTCACGAACTTCTATACTGAGCCACGTTGGTAGATGCAGACTACTTGGTTGGGGTCCGTGTGACTATCGTAACCAATGTTTGGAGACTCTGGGTTGCATGGCTCAGAATCGATCACGATGGCGTCGTTGTATACACTCTTTGTCTTCCCTTAAATCGTGAGATTAAAACAGCTTTACGTATTTCTTTCTAATTCTTTATTCCTGTACTATATCCTTATATGCAATCTTCCTTTTATATATTACCACCATTGAATTAATCACTTCTATGAATCCGGTGTTCATCTTGTTGTGTTAATGAGGTATGACAACTTGGACTGATGCATATATATGGCTGGTCGTACGTTGTAACTGACTGACTGTTTAGGTCATGTCACAAGACACAAAGCACTATTTGATATACTTGGATAGGTTGCAAATGAAATAGATTTTTTATCTATTCTGTGTACGTGAATAAATTTTCGCTTTTCGATTACAACTTCATGTCTCCTTACTCTTTCAGTATGTACGAAGTGTAACCACTTTTCATCCACTGGCAGTTAATAACGTCGAGTAAAGTTCTTCATTGCTTTATGGATTTGCATCCAACTTGGTCTACTTTTAATCATTTCTCACTACACACTACATCCTTTTCCAATAATTCATTATATTTATCGTTGAATATCTAGATCGTTCAAAGAATAGGTCTCGCGAATGCAAAGAATTTCTATGCCTCGTTAATAGACAATAGTTCGTGGTGGAAATTATCTTGTTTTTATAGGTTTATTAAGTGAACTGTAGACCTGTTTGGTATTTTATGTTGTTAGTGTTATTTATGTTCTAAAAATCTTTCGGATCTGGTTGAACTGCTTTTTGTCCATGATGTTTTGTATAAATTCTCAGTTTTTTTAAGTCGTTATCTTTCGTTTATTTATGTACTTCAGTTGTTTCTAACTACATGATACATGGTGAAAACGATAATACGGTTTTAAAATCAATCTCATCGAATTCAACTGATAATATTCAATTTGAGCCAAGTGTTTTCTCTTCTAATTCGTCGAATTTTCTTCCGATTATAATAACAAATTCAACTACTTCTTCACATATATCTGTGTTACCACGTGTTACCACTAGTACTACTATTACTACTACTATATCTGTCTGTACTGCTTGTACTGCTACTACTGGCAGCAATAATTTTTCCATCTCACCACATTATTGGATGTTACCTGAAGGTCCTATACCAATACTTCCTTCAACATTATATTCGCCATATCTATTGCCTACATCTACAATTTTAGAAAATTTCCAGTCTATGCAAAGACTACCTATGTTATATCAGTGGACAGTCCAATCGGCGGATACATCTAGTAACAGTATTAACTGTATTAACAATGTATGTGCATCTTTTATACCATATTTATCGCCCTGTGTTGGTATTTTCACTACAAACTCTGTGAATAATAATAATAATAATAATAATAATAATAGTGATGATGATACACAATGTGCCAAAATGAATATTCCGGAGATTAGTACAATTTATCATTCCCCTCAAGAATCTGATAACGACGAACACGATAATAATGATGATCATGAGCATAATGATATCGAAAAGAAAAAGAAAATCAAAGAACTAGATAGTCCATTACATTCTACCAGTACCACTGATGTCTCTATGAATAATAATAATCACAACATTGAAGTAACTACTAACATCACTCCTCTTGAAACTACAAGTTCTTCAATCTGTAATTCTCAGGTGGAACTACTTCATAAAGGCTTGTTTTCACAATCATACATCTTATTGCCTTCATACCATCCTACTCCTATCCCTACTACTACCACTAATATTCTCCCATATTCAACTTCTAATATGTATGTTAACACTTTAAATTCTTGTGGAATAGTACAAAATTCACCTGTTTGTCAAGCAAGTATAACGATAACAACAATTTGTAATAATAATAATAGTGGTGGTATCGATCTGATTACAAATAGTAATAATTTGCTTACAAATCATCAGTTGAATACAACTATGATGAAGCAACTAAATGATGAACGGAATTTACCAGAGAATAAAAAGATAAATGTGTCAAACGATACAAATATCTGTCCAGTATCACATGAAAAAACGTTTAATGGTATCAACGCCACAGCGAATAGTACGACCTCACCTTCCTTTGTGACTACTGATACTACCATTTTAACGACGAATTTGAATATTAATCGTATCCATTCATCTAACCGGTCAGTTTTACTGGATTCATTTGCCAGTTATTTACTTATACATATTCAAAATTTGTCTGTTCTGCTTTTTATTTTTACAAGAATTTTGTTCTCGTTATTTATTGATCTTAAACAACTGTTATGGTTTCGGTTAAGATATGCGATACTGTCGATAGAAAGTACGTATATCGATATCAGGGCCTTCTCCAATTCGTTGTATGAGATCATATATGTTTATTTACATCATAAAGGCTCTGTACACAAACTCTTCAAACAAAGTGCGGATGTATGACGACCTCTGTTTATCGTTTCATTTCATCAATGGAGTTAAGCAAGATGATCCTACTCCACATTTCCTCCTAGACGTTGCCTTCGATTACATTCTGAAAATAGCTCTGTTGGAATTAGATAATGGGAGTGTGGACTCATTACCAGGAGAAAGACTTTTCGGTCCTGACTATGCGAATGATTTTTATCTTACTTTGCAATTATACTCTCAAGCTATGCGAATCTCACTTAATCAGTTGGCAGTCAATCAGTGTAGGTGTGGTATGTACTTTGCAGCTTCCAAATACATTGTACACCTACAATACTGGGAAGAGATTTTTGTGCACTCACTCTTGATGATAAGCAGTTGAAAGTAGTCAAAAACTCCGTATATCTGGGTAGCTGTGTGAATATTTGTTGCACCATAACAGTTGAGATCGATCTACTTATAGTGAAATCCAATCCTGGGTGTCTTTACCGATCTAAATTATCTTTGGCGTTATCCTGGGTGTGATATTTATTATTTATTTGAACACATAAATATTGGTACAAGAGAGCGCCAATGTATATGCGCCACACAAAACAATGAGGATTCGAAGAGAAAGAAAAAAAGGTAAGGGGCGTAAAAAATGAGAACAATAACGAAGAGGTTGGTGTAAAGTAGTGTAGTAATAATAATAGTAATAATGGGGGGGCGGAAAGATACAATCAGAAGAAATCTTTCGGTTAAGGAAGACACAACCACTTTTTATGATGAAAGTAAAAGAAGGTTACAGCAGGATCGCCACTGGCTTCTATTCTGAGCCAAATCTGATAACGTTGCTAGCCACTGTGTAGCAACATCTCTCGGACCCCAGCCAGGGAGTCGTGAAGGACCGACAGAAGCCAGTCCTTTGCAGCTTTCTTTCATCAGCATCACTGACATGGTGTTGCCACTGCATGTCAGCAATCCTTCGGAGACAGCGATGATCGAACACAGAGAGTCGTCTAACGTCCTCAACTCGGAGAGGCCAGGTTTCACAAGCATAGAGCAAAACTGCTCTCACCGACGCTTGTAGATCCGACCTTTTACAGCCAGACTAACATCACGAAGGCGCCAAAGATGGCCCAGATTGACATAAGCCGCTCTGGCTTTCATTATTCGTGCATTGATCTCATCACTCACACCCCCACCAGCACTTATGCAGCTACCCAGATACACGAACTTCTCGACTACTTCTATCTGCTCACCATCCAGAGTGAGTACAGGATTAGAATCTTGCCAGTCTTGTAGAAGTACTTTGCACTTCGAAGGTGCAGAGCACATACCGTACCTACGGACACTGATTGCCAACTGAATAAGTGCGGATTGCATGCCTTGGGCATTATCGCACAGTAAGACAATATCGTCCGCATACTCAAGGTCGAGAAGTCTTTCTCCAGGCAACAGATCCACACCACCATTACTTACATTCATCAGAGCTGTTTCCAGAATGTCATCGATGGCAAAGTTGAAGAGGAATAGTGAGATTGGGCAACCCTGCCTAACCCCACTGCTCGAATGGAACAATGGAGAGAGGTGGTTGTATGCTCTCCTTCTGCCCGAGGTGTTTGTATATAGGGCTTTAAGATGTTGATAAACTCCTCAGAAACACCCTTCTTCAATAGACAATCCCAGAAAACAGTCCTACCCAACGAATCGAAGGCAGCCCTGATGTCAAGAAACACTACGATTGTTGGCCTTTGATAAGTATGACGGTGTTCTAACATTTGGCGGAGGGTGAAGATATGATCAATACATCCTCGACCAGAACGAAACCCAGCCTGCTCCTCGCGAGTCAATCTTTCTCGGGTTTTGAACAACCTACGAAGTATGACGGAAGCCAATAGCTCGGACGCAATCGGAAGTAGACTTATCCCCCGATAGTTGTTACAGGAACGACGTGAACCCTTTTTAAAGATAGGAACAACTATCGACTCATTCCATAACGTTGGTACACTCTCTAGTTCCCAAACCTTTGTAAACAACGTCGTCAATTCCTTAGTCAGAAAGTCACCACAATCTTTAAAAAGAGCCAGAGGCAAGTCATCTGGACCAGGTGATTTGTAACACTTCAAGAGTTGGAGTTCCTTGCGGACTTCCTCCTCATTTGGTGGATCAGTCGTCACCGGCCATGGAGGGTAGGACAGTCTGACCGATGTTGCCGGAGCAACAGGCCAGTTGAACTGCCCTTCGAAAAATTCTGCCCATCGTCCAAGACGTCGATGGATGTTAGTGATTGACATCCCATCATCCTCGCAGATTGTTTCACTCATACCAGACTTCTTGCTGCCAGTGGCTCTGATGAGTTGGAAGAGCTTCTGGTAATTACCGGATGCAGCTGCTGCTTCCAATTCATTAGCACGCTTCGACCACCAGGCTTCTCGGTCCTTACGCAAACCTTGCCCAATTTTCTTACGTAACATCCTTCGTTCGTGGTCAAGCTCACGTTCACCCGGAGTAGACCGACGGGCTTCAATGAGTTGTGAGGATCCTGAAAAACCCAGTACTTAAAAGCGGGACGTTTCGCGAACCCACAACTGACTGTTCCCGCCATTTTGATGGCGTCATGCAATTGCAACAAATGTTCATCTATACTTTTTAGTGGAATGGTAGCTAGCCTAGAGGCTAGCTCGGTTCGATACTTACTTGCAACAGAAGTTGCAACCAGCTTGCTAATATCAATCCGTTGATGGCGGTCACTTCGTTGTCCACTGAAAAGTAAGGTAAGATTGGCGCAGACCAAAGCATGGTCAGAGTCCAGATAGGTACTCCAAAAGAGGACGCCAGGTGGCACATCGGCGATGACTTTGCTGAAAGTTAGTGCTAGCCAGAAACAGGTTGTAGTCTGTGCAAAGTGTCAGTAGACGGTCCCCGTTATCTGACCTGCCACCAACGAGTCCCAATCGGCCACCTAAACGACTCTCTTCTGTGCCTAGACGCCCGACCTGAGCATTCAAGTCTCCGGCTAGTACTACAATATCTGTCGAACGCACTTTCTGGAGAAGAACAGATAACTGGTGGTAAAACTCATCCTTGATTGCATCCGGGCTGCAATCTGTCGGGGCATGGGCGGATATGACGAAAAGACATAAATAATAATAATAATAATAATGATAATAATAATAATAATAATAATAATAATTTGAATCATTTGATTGTTAGTTGAAGGAAGTAAAATAGTTTCCATAGATATAGAGAGTTCATTATTTGCGTGTAGGCTGCGATACTGCCCAGGTACCCAGACCGAAGCAGGTGGTTATCTTAATGGGCCACACTCCGAGCCTTTGATCTAAAGGTCTAACCCACAAGGCAGTGGAGCATCGTAAGGAGATGCAGTCCCATGGTAGCCCGTGACCGAAAATTGGTTCATACGCCATTTGTTCCCGCAGGATATTGGAGCCCATGTGCACCATTGGTTTGGAATCCGGTTAATGCACCGGACATTCACTTTCCGTCCTCTCGTTTTCGTAAACAACACCGGTGCCACGAAAAGGCAATGAATAGGAATTCCCTGGCAGAAGCTGTATACACGTGGCCGTGTGAGAGTATTTCGAGAGGAAGCGCGGACTCTCCCCACTCTTGGCCGTACCAGGCCATTTGGGGGCTAAATTCGAATGGAGTGTGGTGGGATTGACTTGTGGTAGTGGACAAGGGACGTGTAGTCGTTGGATGTAGAAGTGTTTGTGGAGTGGTATATTGCCACAGGGATTGAGAGTAACCCGGGTGTGTGTTGGTGGAGTAGTTGTACAGTGTATTGATAGATGTGTGACGAAGCGAGTGTTGATGTGTTGCGTCGAAGGTGGGAAGCGCCTCCGGGTGGGCTCGAACCACCAACCTTTCGGTTAACAGCCGAACGCGCTAACCGGTTGCGCCACGGAGGCGAAAGATAAACAATACTCTTGTTCATCAACTGCTTTTTTTCAAGCTTTTAAAGTTCTATTTTACCTATCTTTATTTCTAGCCTAATACCTCATCAAGCATATGGTTCTAATCGTACTGATATAATCACTACGGAGGAAACTCATAAAAATCCACCAGTGAATACTGTTGAGAATTGTGACTGTTCAGATTCTACCAACAGTAGCAAACCTTATCCCTTATGGTCTACTAATGAAACTGTTTGTAATCCTACTTGGTTCTATCCTCGTTTTCCTGGTCGACCTGATTCTTCAAGTGGTATACCCTCCAGTACTTCCGGGTCCCAACGTACTTACCCTACTCGTGGTTATTCACCTATGAATTTCAATAATTCTGTTCTACCACGCGGCTATGCTCAACCTCAAATTGCCAGTTCGTTTTACTATACACAACACCCTGGTTTAACATTAGTTCCAAATTCTGTGTCCAGTCATTCACCATTTATTGGTTCAGTTCCTAATCCAAATATGCACTTCCAACAACCACATCCCTTATACGGTTTAGTTCCTAGTCCATCTTCGACTTCTGGGACATCACTGAATGGATACCCAGGAATTCCTATGGCCTCTACAAACTCAATTAAATCCAACATTTCTTCCATAGGTCAGTCATCAGTAGCATCAGTTGATCCTATATCAACAGCAGCCTTACTACAAAATGCTTTGATTCAAATACCAAATGTTCCTTTGCTACAAAACTTCGTGCTACATCCGCCTTTACATCCAACATATCCTCCGCCAATACCAAATATACCAGCTAATTGTGCCAATAATCCTGCCATGACAATTTCTTCTTGGTCATCAATAAATGGACCTAGAATAGTCAGTTGTTACAATTGTGGTCAGCCAGGACATAAAGCTAATGTTTGTCCATCTAGATGGTCTAGTCAACAATTATCAGAAAGTAAGCAAAAATTAACTATTCCCTCAATTGAATTGATAGAAATATTATTTCCTACACACACTCCTCCCAAACTAATCCCCTAATTTTATGTTGAACAATTTTAATGTTATTCTCAGAATGATTTTAATCTCATCTTGTGTGTGCTCCATAGCTCTCTATACGTTCCTAAAGGGCAAAAAACGTTATTAGCTGTTAAGCATATCTCTTAATCAAGTGTGGTAAGATGATCGTACGTTATAAGCATATCTAAACCGGTGTTCGAACCAGAGACTTATTTTCTGAAAGCAGAGTATTTTTAAAAACAATCCTCCATTCTCCCAGATGATATCTTGCGCTATGAACTACATTATTCATATTTATATTCGACACACCTTTAGTGGTTAACACATCACTTTCCACCATTGATTCTCAGCTTCGAACCCTGTTCTGTTGGCTTCGGTTTGGACAGTCGGGTAGTTATTACCAAGTATGCTTCATCCATAGAATACTTGACGTATGATAAGTTTTCATTAGTTTTGTATGAATGTTAATTTTTAGTACATTTCCTGGTTAATTAGTTATTTAATAAATTTATTATTTCTTCACTCCATCAATTGGTAAATATCTGTATGTACTAGACTACAGTCCATAATTAGTGTGTGTATGTGTGTGAAAACATTCATCGATTTGGAAAATCGAGAGAGAGAAGCGATACACTTAACTTATCGATTTGAACTTCTCTCTAATTTTTTCTTGTCAGTGTTTAATATCAAAAGAAATAAATCAGACAAATTTTGTTTTAGAAATAGTATCTGTTCATTAAGGTGTATATACACAAACACCATGCTCTAAAGCCTAAATATACATCTATAACCTTTATACTAGAAGTATGACTCCTCATAGTCTTGTATATACAAACTACATAGATATTTAGTTATGTTATTCATGTATATATTTAACTTGCTGATTATAAATCTATTCATTCTTCAATCTCTTGAATTGGGTCTTTTATTCCCTTCATTCTTTTCGAATTATATCCTCTCTTTGCTTAGTTTCAGTTTTTTATACTATTGTTAGTATTATCATAGAGTAGCACGAAGGCTTTTGAAAACGGACATATTTGTACCAGATGCTAGTTCATTTGCATGAAACAATAATGAATGGTGGTAATTACATGTAGAATAATATACTTCTGACTTTCAACTTCTTTTAAAACAGTTGTTTATAGCTTCATTTGACTGTTATCCATAGATCGTTGCATTAATAAAAGAGGTCATCAGTAGCTGCACCGTATTTTGTAACATAATTCTGAACTTCATTTTAGCACAACACAATTCTTACAACTAATCAAATCATATATTGGCATTCTGTATTAAGTTAGATGGATAAGAGGTTGCTGAAGTGGGATTGGTTTATGTGTTCTGTTTTTTTAACAGTTATATCATTATTTAGAAATACTCCTTTTTAATCAATTCATGTGATAATTGTACTTTCTCACATCAAATCACATTATTGATTGTTTATTTCTATTTTTGTTTTTCATTTTTCTTCTTTGTCGGTGTGTTTGTATATATATATAGATGTTTTCTCGTTAAATTGTGCTCCAAGAAAATAGTATCACACTATAAAGTAGTAATTATGAATCAAAACAACTCTGGAGAATCACAACCACCGCCGCATAAACTATGCTGCTGACTGTGGAACAGAATTATTATTTCCAATTACGGCAATAGACACCGTCATTACTAACGAACTAATCGCATTCATGTCCATAATGATGATTATTTCATTCTCTGATTTTTTTTCTTATCAACAAAAAATAATTTACACAGTCAAAAAAAAATACTAATTACCGTCTTGCCGAGACATGGATACCCAAGCATTGCCTTGACTCATATCGTTCTTCTAATTCAATGTCCAAGTTAATAGTAGAAAAAAAACTGTATTTTTGAAAGAACCTGAAAAGTTCTTCTTCTTTTTTTACTATTGATTTTGACATGAGTTTACAGATACCTATCATCTTACAAACCTTGTATTTTAAATTGATATCTATGCATGTTAATGTGTTTGTGTAGATGGTGTGTATATGTGGTTGGGTATCTTACTTTTAAAGCAGTCAATATATACTGAACAAAACAATAAGTCCAACAATTCTTCCTAGCATTGTTTTACATTTCATCCTGAATATTGAATTCCTTTTTAACTATTATTATTATTATTATTATTCCCATTTAAAAGAAAGTATGATGAATTCTTTTTATAATATCTATCACATATAGATTGTAGAGAGACACATTGCTTGATCTAGATATTCTATACACACAATTGTTTGTTTTTTTTTATTACCCCCATTTACTTATTTGTATTCTAGCTTGTAAATACTTATACATTGTGTATATGTTATTCACCTGTTTAAGTAAAACTAAACTTTATTTTGAATTAGTAGTATTTTGTTGACAATATAAGCCGTTCCTTCTTTTATTTTGTATTGTACACAAGTTATTATATATGTATGCTAATTAGCTTCATTTTATTCAATACCTGAGAGAAACTATGCCATATACAACTTACTTTACAAATATTTATGATAAACATAATTTGATATTTATCTAATAAGTCGGATCGCTGCATGTTTTACACACTATGGATCACGGACGATAAAACAAATTGTATTTTCTTCTTTGATGTAGTCCATATTGAAATTGTGCTCCTGTTTTTTTCCCTGTGCTCCTACTCACCCCTACTGGAAAGCTCCCTAAGCTAGGGAAAATGGTAAATAAGCACGATGAAAACAAAAGTATATATGTGTGTGCTTTATTCTATGTGAGATCCATAGTCATCCTTTTTTTAAAATTATTTCCCTTCATTCTTGTTTTTATAGTCGATTATTATTATTCAGTTAGCTTTTTGCCTGCCTACCTACCTGTTTATCTAGATGTTTTTGTCTGTTTTGCGTCATGTTGCGCACACGACACCATATAACATCTGTTTTTTGCTTAGATATATGCATTTCCTTACGTATACATATATGTTGTCTCCATTCTCATTATGCCATGGCAGATAAGAAGGTAGACATAATATGTATTCTGCTTTTATTCAGGTGATAATAATAACAATAATAGTGGTAATTAGTTGTTACTATCTTGAGACAAACACTTGTTACTGTTGTTGCTACTTCATTGTCTTTCTCCAAATGTGTATCTTTATACTAGTGTGAATAAATCTCTACCCATTTAACCTTTACAATTTGTTTCCAATTATGTATGTTTGAGCCTGTGAAAAGATGAACAAATAGACAAAATGTCCACTTTACTTTCTCCATCCCCTTACCCTATTCCAATAGCCAGTTATCATAATTTGTGTATGTATTTGCATATACTTCTATTCTCAATTGCCTCTCTCTTGATCGTATTAGTAGGTAGTACAGTTTTTATTTTTTAAAAATTGTTAATAAATTAAAAAAACAAATAGAAATCTCAACATTCTGTTTTGTTTATTTTTTCTTGCCGAAAATAAGTACATGTAAGTAACTTCATTTCAAGAAAACTAATTGCTGTGTTATGATGAATAGTATGCATAAGTCTATGGTGTAAATCATGTATCTTCTAAAATGAACTGGTTTGAATTTACCACTGTTGCTACTACAGTATTAATAATATCCTGCTCAATAATCAGAGTACATTTATAACTTTTTATCGGCTTTATAAACAATCAATTAATATATGGTGGACGATGACGTAATTCCGTGCATTAGTTGGAATTAGACATTAACACCGTTGGATGCCGGTCGGCTCGGTGGTCTACAGTTTAAGCGTTCGTGTGTGAAACCGAAGGTCCTGGATTTGAATCCCACGAGCCGAATCGTGGATACGCACTGGTGAGGAGTCCAATGCTTCCAGGTTTTCAGTGGTGGTCTAGCTTTAATTGACTCATGAATTCAACTATTAAATTAAAAACACACTTCTCATTCATCTGGATTTATATCACAATAGATCCGGAGAACAGTATTTAATGAATTAAAAACTTCTTTGAACTCAGTCTTCAAATCTTTAATCGTGTAGTTAACATAAAATTGAGATGAAACATTTTTATTGTTTGATTCTTAGTTATTTTCTGACTAATCTTAACCTATTTTAATTATAAAAAAAAGATTATGGAATGGACCAAATCTGTGAATGACGCTTTTAAACAAAAATCAACTATTCGATGGCTAACTATAATATGAAGCCCTAGCAAGTGCGTGTACGGTTCACTTATGTGATAAATTCAACTTTTGTCTTCTTTGACTGTCGCAGAGTATCAAGAGTTCGAATCGTGTATTATCATTCAGCGAGTCATACAATTACTGCTCATCTCGGACTGTAATTAATTTCAGAGATATTCTTACCTTAAGGACTGATTACCATCAGTAGGTTCCCACCACAAATTATCGGGTCGGAAGTATAACCTTTAATTACTTACTTCTTGTTGAAAACAAGCTATGCTGCCCTAGTTTAACCGTACAATCAGTCATAAATTAATCCAGTGTTCAGGTGAGCTCAGGGTCCATGGCCCGAGTTAAAATATACAAAGTCCTATTAATCATATACATTGCTTTCTGGTTATATACATGTATTGTCAGCTGATGAGCAGGAAACAATGGTAACAAAACATCATGTTAATCACATTGAACAAACTATTCGTCTGCACACATACTTGAAACGTAAAGTATAAATGATCTTATGATTTAAGCTAAATACTCTTAATCTTATCATTTACACAATATGCTTAGTTCGTAATTGTGTGAAACTTAACTAATCAAATTATATAGAAAGTGTTCAGTATTACCTTCTTCGTCAAATGAATCATTCAGAAAGTATATAAACATCTTAATAAAACATCCTTTTCTCTTCTGCAAGTTTCTAATCATTGTATTTGTCCATAAAGGTAAACAAAAACAATTATTCTTATACGTTTTAATACATAAACATCTTCATGTTTTCCATTGGTTACAACAAACAATAAAATAATATTCTAGATCCTTTTAGACGAAGTGATCATGTGTATAGGAAGTATTTAACTAACAACTAACTTACAGTATTTTCCGTATGGTCATATTGGTTAGCTCTTAATTCAATAATTATAATGGTGTCTGCGACAGTGAATTAACTATAAATGTTTTAGATAAGTTTGTTTTGTGAAGTTTAGATTAATTAGAAATTCTTTATTATATTAATTGAAAAGCAAGGATCACTGTTCTGTTTCTAATTCGTTTGAGACTCCTAGAAGTGTTTACATACCACCTCACTAGAGAGATCAAATTCCTGTCTCACAGTGAAGGTGTGGTGTGAGCTAATTATATAAGTAGTATATAACGTGCGTTAAAAGAACGTAATGTCCGGCAACAGAAGATGGCGAAGATCAAGAAAGGAAGAGCAAGAGCACAATGGAATTGTAAGAAAACGCATGTACAATGGAATGGGAGACAATGGATTAGTGTTTGCAACGGGAACAGTACAGTTTGATATGATGGAATGATATTTTGCAAATTGACGATTGACTTTATGGTATTCACATTTTATTGAGATAGTTTGTAATTTTTGTGCTAAATACAATCGATTGTCCTCACCCGTGTTCTTGTTCACTACAAAGGTATTGATCGATTGATCACTAGGCCAAAATCCTATCATTCAAATGTTTACATTCAGTTGATTTATTCTGTGATCTTACTGTCATTTGACATCAATTGCAGGCATCATGAGGTTGTCGCTTGGTTTTCATCAGTCTGTTTGATTAAACCTGTAAATCATTAATAAATATTGTATTAACAGAATTTGAAGCATTTAGATCACTTCGCGGAGTGAACGCCGTATAGCTCTTCCTTTTTTTATGTACAGAATATAACATTAAATGAATCATACTTGACGTGAAAAATTGTTTGTTTAACTTAACACCCTTTGTTTCTCGATATACTACGTTCGACAATAGAACTTTATTGAAGTAAAAAGTGGTAACAATGTCTTTGAATTAAATAAAACTATTCTACATAGGCTGAGTTGCCTTCATATTAATATATATTACGCCCATAAACATTTGGTAAAGACATTTTTTGTTATATATGTAATGCTTAAGAAGTTATGATATGTATGCTTAACATAAAACTAAGTTTAAGCAAAGGTCGAATAAATCACCTGGACATGTATTGAAAATAAGTATTTAACAATCTACTGTTGACATTCAACGGTCGTAAAGCTTAATCAACAACAGCCCTAATATAAATTAATATTAAAAGTTATGTTTAAATATTTCTGTTTTCTAGATCCCGTTTCTCTTGCTCTACGTTTTAAACGTTACACTAGGACAGGTCTTTCTCAACGTCTAGATTGATCATAGGGAGATAAGCAGTTAAAATTGCTAACCACTTCATTTGTCTTGAGATTTCAATCGGCCTTGTTAGTCAGATGTCTAAAAAAAAATACCACAAATACAGGAAGTTTGCTCAGGTTTGGATAACCTACATCACATTTGGCATAGATCAATTATGAAGCAGATTTCATAGCAGCTATGTTCCAGGTATTTTAGAACATCTGGTCGAACTCTTATCGATTTCACGCTTTCTGTACCTTTCTACTGATTGATTAGGAATATTTTCTTCATTTCTTTGAATGTTACGTAGTTCATTGAATATGATTTATAGAGATATTTATTAGGCTATTTGGATTTTTCCTAAAAAAAAGCATTGCATATTGTTCGACAAATACACATCCAACTTGCTGTGCGCTAAGGCCTCTGTCTTATCAAAATTCACTAGCCTGATTCACTGATCCTACTGGCAACAGAGGGGGACTAGTCTATGATTAAACTAGAAAAAGAAGAGTACGATGAATTTTAAAACGACAAGATCATAAGTGCCTCAAGACAATACAATGGACCTCTTCATTATTTTCTCCATTGTATATCTCGGTAGTTTCTGCTTCAGTGCTTAACCAGTTAAGTGGGACAGAAAATATCATAGTTGTAATTCTAGTAGATAACTTAACAACTAACTGTGCAGTGCGTTTGAACTTTTCGTTACAGTAGTACCGTGTGCAATATAAAGTTTTTCAATATCGTATTGTGTAACTCATAAATAGCATTCGAATTATCACTTACAGCAAAATGGGTAGACTGTCAAATAAATGAGCCCGGAAAATCCCTAGTCCTTCAAATAATAACAACTCTGTCACCTACCTATACCCATGCTCTGCAACTTATTTTGAATCAGATAAAGTTGGGAGTGAACCTGCACCACCCCTGATGCTGGATGACTCAGTCTCTAATTCAATAATGAGTTCTACATCAAGATTGATAAGCATCGATAATATTAAGAGTGAATTAGACAATATCTATAGGCAATTATGCGATAGGCGTCCTAAAGCGGGCTCTTTATCAAAGTATGATGATCTTAAACAAGAACTAAAGACACTAGCAATGACTATAAAATAGATGTTCATGCTTTCCCTATCTATCCCTTTTATAACAGACCCATACAAAAAACCCTTCTTCAATAGTATGGACCCTATAAACAAAAACCTCGGGTAGAGTGAGGGCATACAACCACCTTTCTCCATTGTTCCATTCGAGCAGTGGGGTTAGGCAGGGTTGCCCAATCTCACCATTCCTCTTCAACTTTGCCATCGATGACATTCTGGAAACAGCTCTGATGAATGTAAGTAATGGTGGTGTGGATCTGTTGCCTGGAGAAAGACTTCTCGACCTTGAGTATGCGGACGATATTGTCTTACTGTGCGATAATGCCCAAGGCATGCAATCCGCACTTATTCAGTTGGCAATCAGTGTCCGTAGGTACGGTATGTGCTCTGCACCTTCGAAGTGCAAAGTACGTCTACAAGACTGGCAGGATTCTGATCCTGTACTCACCATGGACGGTGAGCAGATAGACGTAGTTGAGAAGTTCGTGTATCTGGGTAGCTGCATAAGTGCTGGTGGGGGTGTGAGTGATGAGATCAATGCACGAATAGTGAAAGCCAGAGCGGCTCATGCCAATCTGGGCCATCTTTGGCGCCTTCGTGATGTTAGTCTGGCTGTAAAAGGTCGGATCTACAACGCGTCGGTGAGAGCAGTTTTGCTCTATGCTTGTGAAACCTGGCCTCTCCGAGTTGAGGACGTTAGACGACTCTCTGTGTTCGATCATCGCTATCTCCGAAGGATTGCTGACATGCAGTGGCAACACCATGTCAGTGATGCAGAGGTTCGGCATCGTGTGTTCGGGCACAGAGATGATAACTCAATTGGTGTCACCATCTTGAAACACCGACTTCGGTGGCTTGGACATGTTCTACGAATGTCGTCCCAGAGGATTCCACGTCGCGCATTATTTGCCGACTCTGGGACTGGTTGGAAGAAGCGGAGTGGTGGTCAGTGTATGACATGGTGTCGTGGGATGAAAGAAAGCTGCAAAGGACTGGCTTCTGTCGGTCCTTCACTACTCCCTGGTTGGGGTCCGAGAGATGTTGCGACACAGTGGCTAGCAACATTATCAGATATGGCTCAGAATAGAAGCCAGTGGCGATCCTGCTGTAGCCTTTTACTTTCTTCATAAAAAGTGGTTGTGTCTTTCTTAACTGAAAGTTTCTTCTGATTGTACCTTTCCGTTCCCCCCATCATTACTATTATTATTATTTTTATTACTACTACACTACCTTACACTAATCTGTTCGTTATTGTTCTCTTTTTAACTCTCGTTACCTTCTTTTTTCTCTCTTTGGATTCTCATTGTTTTGTGTGGCGTATATATATTGGCGCTCTCTTGTACCAATATTTATGTGTTCAAATAAATAAATAAATAAACATGGAAACAACGAGTCAATATAGAGACTGTAAGCACGCTGACTGGGATCTCCTGAGCTCACTGGTTAAATTCCCAAACCGGGATTACTATTTCTCATGTCCTCAGCACATTCTGTCTGATCGTTGTCTCTTGTCTACATTCCTGTTTCCTCCGGTTTGGACGTACAGGTTTAGTAAACCTAACGAAAAATATATATCAGCTAAATATCATAATAAACTAAGAGGCTTACACAAACGCCATTTTAAGTCAAATGATTTCACGGCAGTTGCACAAATAACATTAATTTTTAGCCAAATTAAAGAGAAGTACAATTTAAAAGCCATCGATGTGGAGCTCAAAAGTACGAAGCTTAGTTATCCTTTTGAATAAGCGCGTTAAATTAACTCAAAATGTTGATGTACCATGCATAATACCACTTTTATATGCGACTCTAAAACTATAGCAGACCTTTTCAGTGGTATTTTGCTAATGATAAGGAATTCCTAAATGGCACTGTTTCAATAGTCATATGACTAGCTAGTAATTCTATAACATCTGTCGCCTTCACATGCTTGAAAATTAGTAAAGCTATAAATACCGTTTAGGTTTCAAGGAGTCATGGAGTAGACGGGGTTTCATCCTTTCTCTACAAATATGGTTGTCCAGATATTTCTACTATTTTTCTAAAGCTGTTTAATTTCTATGAAATCAGGTACTTAACTTTACTGTTGGAAAATCGCGTTTATAATATCACTTTACAAATCATGAGATAAGACTGACATAAACAATTATCGGTCGATAAATATTTCTCCGGTTATCTCTAGGTTTATAAAAAAAAAATTTGTGTGACGAACTCCCTATTTACTTGCTGAAAAATTTATAAATGATTCTCAACATGGATTTCTTAAAAATCGATCTTGTGTGACATGCCACTTTGACTTCTTTAATTTACTCTATTCATCGTACTATGTTACACTTAAATTAACTTCTCACTCGTTTTATCTTCACTATGTATACATACATATTGACACACATACATACATATTGATGTTTGGTTATTCTTTGCACTTAATTGAGATTTTCATAGCTTTACTCCAAACTGTGACTGCACAAACACTTATACTAACATCATATCTTACTGCAATGACTTTTCTTATTTCTTTTATTTTTGTTATTCATTTAGCGATAGATACATGGCCGTTTACTATTGTTCTGTGTTCATAAACATGCTTACTAAACTATTTACGTATTTCGTGTCTCCTTCATTTCTGTTCTCTTATTTTATCCCAAGCTGCCAACTTTGGGGAAAATTTAATCCATTTTGGGGAAGCCGCTATAGTAAATTTTGGGGAAATGAGCAAAAAAAACCCAAAATTTCCCCAGATCTGGTGAAATCCCCAAAGTTAACTGAAGCTATTGGGAATACATCTGACTACTGAATTTTAGTAAGTAGTATAAAACAATATACAAAAAAACAAATAAACTATGGTTACGTCTGATAAAGCCTGCGAAGCCAGATGAAAGAGAAACGGACACGATAGTTATATCATTTTTGGGAAGCTTCCCCAAACCTTTGGGTTTTCCTGGAAAACTGTTTTAACGTAAAAGCTTCACGAAAGCCTATCGACATCACGGAAGACCTAAGGAGAATGCTTACGTACATTTCTTACTGGGATGTTTTATTACTTTTCGTCAATCGCGCATTGCTAATGAAACTTAGTGTTAACCGATTTATCGCGATTATCAAAACACTGATTTATGAGATATATAAATATTTACTAAAGTTAATAAAATTACAAATGATTCATTTATACAAAGTTTTACATTGCGTTGTAACAGCAACACCTTACGTAGACGTAGAACTGTCATTGATAATATTCTAAGAAATAAATAAATCATTTTTAGTGTATAATAACGTGTCAAGATACGTGAAAGGTTGATGATGTACCAACAGTATAACAATGTTCTTAATAATGCGAACAAAGAACTTACAGTTACGTCTGATAAAGCCTGCGAAGCCAGCTGAAAGGGAAACATACAAGAGACAAGTTATATCACTTTGATTATTGATCACAAAGTAATAAACTGTTACAGTAATTAAAGTACAGTGATTATAGTGATAAATACAATGATAATTAACATCCTGCGAATTTTGGGGAAATGCCCAAAGTGAACTTCAGTTATTGGGAATACAACTGACTACTGAATTTCATTAAGTAGTATTAAACAATATACAAAAGAGTAGGAACAATGTGGGACAAAGTTAACATATGTATTATAACAAACATATTAAGTAGTTTTAGCTCACCCTTTCTTTGGATCGCCATCCACGTTTATGCACTTTATCTCTTACGTCATGCAAGAAGGCCTGGATTGCTGCAGCCATGGCGTGCGTGATCTCCTTTTCCGAACAGGTCGCACTCCGGAAATGTGAACACAAAGCACCTACAAATATGTTGATACAGTAATGTGGACTTACTTTGAACCGTGGAGTAAAATCTGTATTTACTAATCCCGGATTTTCTTCTGGTTCCGTGCAAAGTGTAAGTATTCGCGAGTTCCGGCGACAGGAGGTATTGAAGACAAGCTTTAGCTGATTTCCGAGTATTGTCACACATTAGGTTGCATAATCTTGCCACCTAAAATTTATCCAAACACCTTTTACAACTTACGAAACGATCTCGGTATTTTTGATTTTCTAAAGCTGCCTCTAAAGAACGCAACTCCTCATGCGTTCTTAATGGGAAATGTATAGCATCACTATCCATTCCCTCTGTACGCCTGTCGGTTACACCCATGGCTAAGCGTTCACACAAAATTAGGACTTTGTCTATTTTCGTAGACAGCTCACTGACCGATTTCAGGAGCGTTCTTAACATTTTGTTTGTATCATCGCACAAACTTTTGTTATAAGGAATACAGTAAGTGCAACTTACGGTTTATCAACTTCCGTCGACGAACGTGGAAGTGGTAGTGATGATACGTCAGCTTTTGATGAACTACTATATGAGTATTGATAAAGTAGATACAAACCTCGCAATCGGAGAAAAGGTTCCTGTTAAAATGTTGACGACTGGAAATCCCACCGGGGCAAATCCAGCCTCAACCTCAGCAACCTCTAGTTCTTCAGAGGTGCATAGATAAATCTTGTGCTTTCGTTTGACAGTTCTAACACAAATGATATAATAAGTTGAACAATTTACCTCTTTGGCTTTTCGGCTTCACAGGGCTGTGTTTCATCGTTTCTACTAAGGTTATTATTATTGTAGCCCAATGCTGTTGTTAAACACACTTTGATTTGCTGGGCAACACTGTAGTTGTCTAAAAGCAATAAATCTAAATTGATTACAACTTACCACAACGATGTATAACGGTGCATTTCCTGACGCAGAATCGATTACCAAAATCGACACCCTCAATAATGTCCTGCTCATTAACATCATCCCGATAAACGTAATGGTTGTTGTTCAGGAGCCATTTGTTAGGAATGCAGACCACTTGCTTGTTCTCCTTATCGTCAACTAAGATGTACTTTCCACTTTGATGCTGTAAATGAATGCGCAGGCATGAAAAATTGTAAATTTATTGCATTGATGAAAATTCACTAACACTTCCTGATGGAGGACGCAAAATCACTAACCAACAGACTATTACTGGCTAAAGTGCTATATTTGCAACAGTCCTAGAGAAATGATGTCACATATGCTACTAGAATGTATGCAAAAGAGGGATAATGACCTCATAATGTTGTGTGCGCATACACATGCACTTACAAAGTATGTCATTCAGTGTTATCCACGTGCATTCGTGGCTTAAGGTAGAACACTTAAACATACCAATATTACTGGAGGAAAAAGGGACGGTATACAAATCGGAAGGATTATGGAATGGCTGGAACTTAATAAGGCTTCTATCACGTATTTCTGTTACGAATCCTGGTCTACCTTTGGCAATAACTATATTGTCCGGCCTTGTAGTAGATAGCTTTGAGTTCCTGTAACTGACCATTTGTTTGGAAGGATCATCAGTTACCTCAGGCTCAGTGACATTGTCAGCCATATCCTGATTATGTATACTTTGAAAGTAAACTTCTTCGGCATATCGCTGTGCGGCTTGTTTAGCCGCAGCAAATCCACAGTGTACTGAACGCCTAATTTTCCTTATGTAAGACTCAAAAGGAAATGCTGCGAACGATTCTAAAGTACCATGTTCCATAACGTCGTCTGCAATATGCTCTAAACTATGCACATTGTAGATTAATTGTTCGGTACCGTAACACCTTTCGTAACCTAATAAAAAGTTATTAATGTAAACCCGAAGACTGTTAGCGAATGTGCTATGAAACTTAGGGTGCGATAATAAATACATACTTGTACCACGATGATGGATAGATTGGGACCTAGTACGAAAAGTGACATCACTTCTTAAGTCGTGTTCACCATTGGGGAAAGTCATTCGACCACCCATTCGCGTCCCTAAAACCTGATATTTGTCACAGCCAGCGATACCATTGTGTCCCACAATATATTTCACGTTGCTGAGAGCTGGAGCGTCACAAATAACAGCAACTAATTTAACTGTAAAATGTAGCTGATACTTATCTACATTAAAACTTACTATCAGTAACTCCTGTAACTCTGTTATAAGTGTTGCTGGCATGTCGTTGAAATCAGATGGTTTTACTTCACCACCGTAGATCCCAACTACGAAAACACTACTAACTAGTGGAGCTACTATGCGACCTAGGATCGGCCACAGCTGTTGGTTAGAGCTTTTGAACAAACTTAGACCGTCGTAGTTTAACTGCAACTGAAGTTCGTTGAAACGGATTCTCCGTAGACAATGTTCTGAAATTCTCAAACGACTTGATTTCAATCCCAAGTGGTAATACGTTCCAGAATCTAGAATCTTAGGCTCCACGTCGTTGCATCGACGTAGAACACTCCGGACGGACGTTGGACGTTCTGGATACCGCGTACGAAAAAAGTCCAATATTTGGTCAACCTTCTTTATGCTTATATAACTACCTTTCATCATTTCAATGACCATTCTGGCTAACTGTTCTCTCATCAAGAGATGAACGGCTGAAGATTTTAATAATTAAACAGATACTACCACTGATTGTGTTGTCTGAACACTGAACGTAACTACATGAAGCAGTAGCTGTATCTGTGACTATATTAGCCCACTGCTCTGTAGCTACGTTAGTACGCGATTCTGTGAAGACAACTGGATTGTCTGTCTCTTCGTCACAGCTCGGTAACTGACACTTCTTTATAAACTGTGCTTTTAATTTCCTCAACCTTTTGTAATAGGTTGCTCGGAAACAGCCAAACAACCTCGGGTATTTCGCGTCTGCTGCCCGCCTTTTCGCAATCTTACCAACCTGTCTATTATTATTCTGAAAGAAATAATTGACTTAAGTAAGACTGAACATAGACAGCAACCGGATTTCCGACCCGCACTGCTAACAACTCACCTGCATAGCTTTCAAATTTTGATAAAGTGGTTTACAACTGATAACTCTTAGTCTACTGTCTGTTTGTTGATGTATTAAAACAAGACATGAAATTCGATAGACTATCCCTCACCAAAAGTCTGCATCGAAATAAAATGTAAATTAATTCATTCAAATTTACTACTTTGAGGCTTATTTATATTATGTTGATGAAATGTTAGTGTGCAAAATTGCACTGCGAACATTTTGAGCATTTTCCCCGAAATTTCCCCAAAAATCCTCAAAATTTTCCCAAAGCTGGCAGCTTGGGATACCTTTATTTCTTTAAAGTCAAATCACTATCCTTTTCAATTATACAAAAACTGACTTATTATTATTCTATTATCATTATTATCTTTTTTCTTCTCTTTTTCAAATATGGCAAATATAATGCTAACATTGTTGAAACATGTGTATTATCGAATTTTTGAATATGCTTGAGATGGTTGCTTAGCAACATTCATGTACTCATTAGATGATAGTGAATAATAATAATACATTCAGAATACACTTTTTGTCCTATTCTGCACAGCTTGCAGGTGCTTACTTCTGAAACTGTTTCTGGAAGTAGCTCGCTTAGTAGGATCCTAATGTCGCTGAGGTCGTGTTCAAATCTACCTTTTGGTTCCCTTTTGGAGTGTTCTCTTAACTTATGAGAAATAATCAACCTGTCAGTGATGTTCGTCTTAACACGTGAAATTTTCAATTCCTGAGATCTCCTTCCTGCAATTCTATTGCGATTTGGCGACAAACGCAGAGGTTTCACATTGCTTTCTTACTTTTCTTTTTCTGAGTGTGACTGTAAGCCAATTGTTCACCTTGTAGGGCCAGTGAAATGTCACTGAGCCCTAGCCAAATCATCCGGCAGTTGGATCACTGAATATCGAACAGATCATCGCCCCCTGCCAAGGTCATGTACAAGCAACGCGCATTAGTTAATCATACGCCATGGACTGGCCCATGCGGCAGTGGTCTTACTTTCGCTTGTATCTACTTTAACTAATATATTTCTGTAATAACGTCCTTTGTGTTGTACAGTCTTCAAAGCATCTATAGTACCTTGTTACGTCAATGGGGGTAGTCCACGTAAGGTGCTGACCACGAGGTGTGACTTCGACATTAGCTAGTTTGTCACACCATTCATGTCTAACTCGAGTAGGCCTCCAATCATTTCGACATAGATCATCTACGTTGGTGATCTACAACCTTGTTATGTCTCTTGATCACGTCATCTATACCGGTTAGATTTTGTCCCCCTCATAGTCAGTGAATCCTAAAGAGTAGCCGTAGATTTGTAGAATTACTGTTTACGTATTTATTGGTACTGCTCAAATAGTAGACCCAATAGTCATTATGTAGATTTGTCATGTTGTGACTGCCTAATCTACAAGATCTTGCTCGTTCTCCAGAAGAATCAACATAGACTTTGTAGGGCAGCATGATTTATACGGCTAACGTGATGGTGACCTGCAGGACCTTTCATATGCAGCCGGTATGAAACTGGTGCAAAACACACAACTTTGACCACAATAAAAGAAACCCAACTTCGGTAGATACACAATGGCCTTAACACATTCGGACAAAAACGATACTAAAAGATATATTCAACGACGAGAAAAATAGTACTTCCGTTTTTGCATCTCTACTCAAAAAGCACAGATGGTAAATTTCTCTAGAAAAAAGCGATACTCTTGCATATTACTTCAATCATAATGAGTTCAATTAACGTAAAATCAGTAATCTTGATGAGTATTTAATTGATCAACACTATAAAATATACTCAGAGGAAAAATATCAATGTCCTTCTTGAATAAGAACATTTGATGCGAAGTGTTGTCCAATTACATTTGTCAACAAAGCTGGTGCTTCGGGACTATTGAAACTCGTCTACTCGCGATAAATCATTTAGATATGCCAAGACAGTTTATTATTGATATCATTCTTTAGAATTTCTGTAACTAACTTGCTGAAAACGTTTAGTATACTGTGTAAACGGTTATATATCGGTAACCATGGGAGTTTGGTCAGATTCTACCCAGCTCATATATCAGCCACTGTTTTACAGCCACTGACGCAGATCACATAATGAAAAAGGGGAAAGACTAACTGTTGTATGTGAATAGGAATTTCTTCATCAGAATGGTTGTAAACTTTAATTATTTGAAAACGCTTACTAAAGCAATTTATAATAGGATCAATGTTACATTCAAACGCCACACAACCACAAAAAGTAGGTGCTTCCAACAATGACGATCAGAAGGATACTACTTAGAAAGTGTTGCGGTGGTGTCCTGGTAGATTGCGATGTTCTGACAATCTAAACAATTGCCAGGCGCCTCACGATATCTGAAATCGTCCACAATCAAATAATTATTTCAGGAACTATACTGCCTTGGATTTACATGGCGATGAAAATACTTCGTCGGTTGACCCTTAATTGTAAAATCAACAAGCGACGGTTTTGTAATACTAGCGTACTGACAAATCATTGATCTGAAAACACTATTTAGTGTATTGCTTATAAGTTTATGCCAAACATACTAATCAGGATACTTCTGATCGAGAAAACCTGATGGCTGGATTATTTTGCCCCCTAAGCCCTCCTGGAAAACGAAAGGAAACCTACCATAAGCTTGGGACGTCTGAAATAAGGATAAGGGAAATGAACAGCGTCAGTTACTCATTAACCAAGCACCTTTGACCTCACATCGACCTAAGGTCCTCACGTTTCCATCAATCAGCCAACTTCCAGTCACCATGTTACTAAGCTAGAAATACATTCGCATTGGAGGACAGCTTGGCTAAGTTTCAGTGTTATCCCTATAACCTTTCAAGTTCCGTAACCTATCGGTAAGTAACATCAATATCGAAATGAGGAGCACTATAAAATGTACTCCAACGACCATTATAAATTTAACATGACCACGCGGAAGGGCAAACGGTACTAGCTTAGGTTCATTAATCATCCATCGGAGGCGAAATAGATATATATTGCTAACTCCTACATATTTAGTTTCCATATGCAGATAATCAGAAAAGCAAACGAGACCTTGCTGATTTCCTCAAATGAATTTCATATAAACAAACTACTGGTAACTAAAATCGCATAACACACATCGTCTATCCCAAAAATTATCACTCATTATTCTTATCGGGACATAACAAAATGACACTGAACTCTACGTACATATCTGCCAGAAGATTTTAGGCTTCAGGATAATAGGGAATGGTTCATTTAGTAACCCGGTCACCATATTTTCTACAGTATCAACAGATATTACATGTGTCTTATAGCACCTAACAACACTGATGGTTTTCATTAGGGTTACGAGACTATTATATATATATATATATATATCTTATTATAGATTGATAGAAAATGCCCAGTTTCTACATTACGCGAATATTATTCACCGATCAAAAAGATTGTCACTGTGTTAGTTCTAAGGCTAGAAAATTATTGGTTGAATATCATAAAGAATCTTGGATATCTTAAATCGTTTGTTCATAGGAAACATGATAAGTTATGGCTTCCAAAATGCTATTCACCATTTGACCGTTGGTCAACCACAGGCTTTTCGTGCCTTAAGGTAACCCTCGTGCTATTGATAGAAGAAACCAGAGAAGTAGTGAATAGGTCTTTATTTCGATCTTCGCGCAGTCACAGTGGAGCGTGGGATTATCTGTTCAGACAAACAAAGGCTCTCAACATTCAAGATAATAGGGAATATAACGCTTATGAAAAATAAGGAAGTGAATGAATACTTGAACAATACTGTTTTGGCATAACCTTGGTTGTTTGGGGTCAACTCTTAACCAACCAACCTGAGCTGTTACATTAGCTTCCCCCTAGAATCGACTTCCGTAGGAACGTCGGTTCGATTAACCTATCTATCGAAAACACCTTAGTTCTATTTCTCATCCCAGGGAAAATTATCAACTCGCTCACTATTCGACTTACAATCAGTGACGACTAACGCTGTCAACGATAGTCCATGGATGTCTCCTCATTTACTAGCTTGTCATCTTATTTTGTAACATGTGATCTATTCTACAACTATCGCTGACGGTTTACTGCGTGCTTTCAAGAGAAAGAGTGTGAGAATGTGGAATAAGAATATCTGAGGAAGTGCCGCGAGCGGGCTACCCAACACCATGTTGGTGAGGTACGATTTTTCCATGCTCAGACCGGCTATCAGGTGTTTACTCACCTGCCTCTTTAGTCGCCCTCAAGTAAAAAGTAAAGAAGAATCTACTTCAAAGGTAATGGTGAAAACCAATCACACCTGAAGAACTGCTCCACTGCCTGCATAAAAATAATAAGATACAAAATGGAAATACAAAAATATAATTTATAATTGTTCGATTCCACGTAAGTGATTGGCCTCCAGAAAGGATTGGTATTCTAGAAGAAAATAGACATAGTGTAGCCATCTTATGTACGAAAAGGTATGAACACAAAAAAGCTTTTTCATAATGCATATATGTAAAAGTGTGAACTTGCTAGAAGTTGGACTCATTGTCAAACCCGATCAAATGTATGACCTTGGGCCTATGACGACCGCCTTTTATAACCAGGTACGTAACCAAGGGTGCATAGTTGTACTCCACAAAACGGAAAAGAATATACGGTTAAGGAGGAGAAAAAAATTGTGTAGATTATGAGGATTAAGTACAATTGTGTCAAATACTCTTTTCTGGTTTGATCTAAGTATGTATGATATATTGAAACAATATTTCGTCAATTCATCCAAGTAACGAATTTGTCTGCACCTTAGAAATGTGTAAGTCCTATTACTCATTAGTATTATATACGATTAATCGGTAAAAGGAAAGATTGCAGTCATTCGCCCGTGGTTTGATGTGGTCTAATGGCTAGGCACACGGTCTAGCATCCAGGAGGGCAGAGGTTCGAGTGCGTGTGGGGCTAGCGTTTTCGTTCACCAAAACCCCCTTCAATACGATGTTTGTTGGCCATATGTTGCTCAGATATGAGAGAAAGATAACAGGAGGACGGATTGATATGTCAAAGTGCCATATTGGAATAGTACAAGTTCTTTGTTTTTATTAATAATAATGCTATAGAAAAAAAAACTACAAGTGTGGTAGATTTCCATTTTACGTTATAATTAAACCAACGAGAGAAAAAAAGGTATATATATATAAGTTATTGACATAACATGTTTTTTTATAACGCTAGTGTTAAGTTCCAGGATTTTGTATGGACCACTAATAATAATTGGTTTAACGTTAGCATAGCTGTGATATTCATATTAGTTCAATGTTGTGATTACTTAACAGTTCCCTTATAAGTTGTGTTTAAAATTAGGTATGTGGAATCAATTCGGCTAACATAGTAACCTTACAGTAACGCACTGTACTATATCTTCACGGTTATTGATTCTTAAATGTCAGAAATTTAAAAAAAAATTTGAATATTGCCAATAATGATGGGTTATATGATCACACTAAAAAGCATGCTGTAGGGAAAACTGGTTAAGTCATTATGTAAGTTTCCTAAACATGAAAAAAAATGATGAGAACTTTATTAAGTATTTGACCATAGTTTAATCCAAAATGTTTTGTCTAGAAAACCACTTATTAATAGTAGTATTAAGCGTATCAAGCTACTAAACACATCTTCGACCGAAAACTTTTAGAAGTAGTTCATATGGTATATATGTATAGCCAGTCTACGTGAAAAATGTATATAGATATATAAGAAGTACAGCCAACATAGTTAATTAACCAGAAAAAGAAATTATAAAACTCGCCTGGGTTGCTTTTTGAATTCGTTGTATTTGCCAGTGTTAGTTGTATGAGTTTGATTAAAATCCGCAGCCATCGTTTCGGAATACCTAGCTTATGTGTCCAGTGTTTAAAAAAAATTTAACATAACACTTATATATCAAAGGCAAAAGGTCTGGGGAGTTGTAGGTGAGGCGGAATGAGGAGAAAAGTTATTTTTAAGTAGATGAAGGGTCTGATTAGCTACGTGGTTAGATTTTATCCGGCAGCTGAAACTGTCAACATCCTTGATTGGCTAATCGGATGTGCCCAGCGAACCGTTTTAGTCATTTGTAAAGATTTATCGTTTTTGCATTTCGATTCCGTAATGGATTTGTCAGTTAAACGATCTAACAACACGTATGGTGGTTCATGATCTAGATAAGCCGGCTTTAGCCTATCAATACTTACTGTGTCGATGTTTCCATGTTTTTCTATCACGAAATATTTAGATTTCCTTGAGACGACTTTGAAAGGACCTTCAAATGGAGGGCTAAGTGGTGCTTTTATTTTGTCACATCTTATCCAGACGTGCGTGCAATTGCTTAGGTCTTTAGGTACATATACGGCACGCGATTGTTCGCGAGTATTAATTGGCTTAAGTTTGGACATATGGTCCCGTAGTTGATCTACGTAGTTTCCTAAATTAAGTTTTTGACTGTTAGTATTGGGGTTAATAAATTCACCTGGTAGTCTCAGAGTTGTTCCGAAAACCAGTTCCGCAGCTGAACACTGTGCGTCAGTTTTGACAGATGTTCGTATTCCCAATATAACTAATGGTAGGAATTCTGTCCACTGATTGGGGTTTGAGTGAGATATAAGGGCGGTTTTTAGCTGACGGTGAAAACGTTCTACCATCCCATTAGCCTGAGGATGAAATGCAGTGCAGCGTATCCTATTGGAGCCTAGAAGTTTAGCCAAGTTATTAAATAGTTCGGATTCGAATTGCGCTCCTCTATCCGTCGTTATTGTTATGGGTGTACCAAAAATGGTTACCCAGTTCTGCATGAAAACTTTGGCTACTGTTTCCGCTGTGATGTCCGCTATCGGGATGGCTATAGGGAATCTGGTAAATCGATCTATGCATGTAAAAAGATAATTAAAACCGTTTGAACGAGGTAAAGGACCTACCAAGTCGATATGCACATGGGCAAAACGTGCATCTGGTTGCGAGAAAACACCTATGGGTGAATTTGTGTGACGATTAATCTTTGATTGTTGACATGCTGAACACTCTCTAACCCATTTGTGTACATCCTTCTGTAAATTCGGCCATATATATCTGGCATTGATTAGTTTTGTTGAAGCTTTCGCGCCAGGATGAGACAAAGAATGAAAGTTATTATATATCAACTTTCGCATATTTTTGGGAACGAAAGGTCGCGGCATTGCCTTGGTCGTGTCACAATAAATTAGAATACCATCGATAGGTGATGGGAATTGTTTTAAATTAAGACTTGAATTGTTTGTTTTAAGTAGGTTTTGCAATTCTAGGTCCTGCTCTTGTTCGTATCTTAACGTCTCGAAGTTTACTGTAGACTGCTGTAGCACGTTCATTTCTAGTCTGGATAAAGCATCTGCCGCCTGATTGTCCTGACCTTTGACATGTCGGATATCGCTTGTGAACTGTGATATATAGTCAAGGTGTCGGACTTCTCGAGGTGAGTATTTATCGGCTCTCGCTTTTAATGCATTCGTCAGTGGTTTATGATCCGTAAAGACTATAAATTCCCTACCTTCTAACATGTGTCGGAAGTGTTTAATGGTCAGGTAGATTGCAAGAAGTTCTCGCCCGAAGGTAGAATACCTTGTTTCGGCTGGAGCGAATCTTTTCGAGAAAAAAGCAATTGGTTTCCAGGCGTTTTTAACCAGTTGGTTAAGGGTACCGCCTACTGCTTTATCTGAAGCATCCACCATCAAAGCAAGTGGGGAAAGAGAATTTGGATATATCAACGTAGTTGCTTCAGCCAGTTTATCTTTAAGCTGTTTAATAGCTTCGATGGCGTCAGAAGACAGTTTGAATTCTTTTGGTTTTCCTTTAAGTGAATCTGTCAAAGGTTGCATTAATTGTGCACAACCTGGTATGAATCTGCGATAGAAGTTAATTAGGCCTAGAAAACTTCTCAGTTGTGTTAGAGAACTAGGTACGGGGTATTGTTTGATAGTATCCACTTCTTTTTTTATAGGTTTAATCCCTTCTGGGCTTATTGTGTGACCGAGAAATTCTAAAGTTTGAACACCGAAAACACACTTACTTTGATGTATGTTTATTCCATGTTCATCCAGTCTTTTCAACACTGCTTGTACATGCTGTTCGTGTGATTGCAAATCGGGGCTGGCAATTAACAAGTCGTCTATATACCCCTGCGCAAATGGCATATCTCGAAGTAGGTTATCTATGAATCTTTGAAATGTCTGTGCCGCATTTCTCAGGCCGAATGGCATGCGTACAAACTCGAATAAGCCAAAGGGTGTAGTAATAGCTGTCTTGGGAATATCTTCATCAGCCACCGGGATATTGTGATATGCCCTGACTAAGTCAATTTTAGTGAATATGTTCATACCCTGTAAACCGTTGGTGAAATCTTGGATATGAGGTATTGGGTACCTATCAGGTACGGTTTGACGGTTTAGGGCTCTGTAATCCCCGCACGGTCGCCAGTCACCTTCATTCTTCTTTGGGACCATATGCAAAGGGGATGCCCATTGACTATCAGAGGGACGGATGATACCCAGTTGTAGCATATAATCAAACTCGGCCCTAGCGATTTTGAGCTTATCTGGTGCTAGTCTCCTGGGTTTTGCAAACACCGGTGCACCTTCGGTTTTGATAGTGTGACTCACTTTTAGTTTGTCTTTAGAAGGCTGTGGGTTTGGTTTAGTTAAGTTTGGAAATTCCGCGAGTATATCTTGGAATTTCGCTGTTGTTACTGGGGGAGTTTGAATCAAGTTAAGAGAGCTGATGTGACTTTCTTTGCCTTTTGTGTAATACGAAGTTTCTTTTAGTGTTAATCGCCGTTTCTTGGTGTCAACTAGAAATTCGTATCTCTCTAGAAAGTCCATCCCCAGTATTGCCAGATCTAGGTCGGCTACCGTGAAAACCCAAGGGAATTGCCTCCTGAACCCCAAATCTAGGGTTAAAGTTTTCTGCCCAAATGTCGCAATTTTAGTTTTATTTGCAGCTTGAAGTGTAATTGATGATGTTTCTCGACTAATCTCAGTTTTATTTCGAGGGATGATGCTAAGAGCAGCGCCAGTATCCACCAAGAAATTCAAGCCCGAGTTCCTGTCTCTAACATAAAACAAGCGACTGTTTAGGCGCCCCTCCTCAGTCGTCGCGACCTGGGGAGGGGTTACTCGTTTCCCGCTGTCTTAGAATTATGCTTAGGCCAGGCGCATGGTTGCATGCACTTGGTTGAGTTGACACCAAACTTCCAGTGGTACCAACAAAACTGCCCAGATTGTCTGGACATTTGTGACTTGGATCGTGGCCGTTGTGGTGACCTGCTCCTGTGTCTATTACCCATTTGCATTCTGGTGACAGCCTCAGTGAGACTCTTAACACTCGCAATGAGTCCTTCTATTACGGGGTCTTTTGCCGATTCTACTTTTTGTGTGTGATTTATTGTGCCTGATCCAGTTGGAGGACCTCTTTCCATTATTCTGTCGGCTATACGCGCTAAATGAGATAATGAGGTTTCAGGATCCTGTGCATCCAAACAGTGTTGGACGTAGCATGGGAGAGCTTGTATCCATCCTTGTTTTAGAACTGCTTCACCCACTGTGTTATCACCCACTAAGACTTGGAGGTGACGTAAAAACTGTGATGGCGACCGATCACCTAGTGTTTCACCTTGAAAAAGTCTTTGGATTCTTTGACTATCTGATAATGATAAACGGTTCATTATCTCTCGTCTTAAGATGGTGTATGGTTGTGGTGATGGTGGACTTAAAATCAAGTCACGGACTTCTTTGGCGACTGAAGGACGAAGGATAGAACACAAATCTCTATAGCGAATCCCTTCAGATTTGATATTGTGTCTCGTGAAATAATGCTCTAGTTGAGCAAACCACAACTCAGGATCACTACGATCAAATTCTGGAAGTCGGGATTTCGTAGTCATAACAGTGTCTATCTCCACTGGTGACAAATCCTCCAGATTATGGGTTTCTATTGAGTCTGACATGAGGTATGTGACAAATATAGCAATAAAGTTAGCACAAAAAGTGGTTACTATAACACGAATAACTTAAGATAATACGGAATAAACTAGTTATATACTCAAATTAGTTTGCGGATAATCAGGTCTACTTTTACGATTAAGTAAAAAAAATGTTAATAACAGAAATGAGGTTAAATTTGTGTTCAAAAAGGGCTCACCAGTTTCGTGCCTTAAGGTAACCCTCGTGCTATTGATAGAAGAAACCAGAGAAGTAGTGAATAGGTCTTTATTTCGATCTTCGCGCAGTCACAGTGGAGCGTGGGATTATCTGTTCAGACAAACAAAGGCTCTCACAAAAAGCAGCTATTACAGCTACCAGAGTATTCCTTAGAGAACGTATACATAAATCCACTTTAAACTTGGAATCCCTACGTTCACGTATAGCAAACATTGATAGTGCGTTATCACTAATTATACCACCAGAATTAAAAACAAATGTTAATGAATTTTTGAAACATAGAGATAACTTTTATAACCAAATCACAAAAAGACGTCAAATGAGAAAATTTGAACAAATGTTTAAACATCCGTCGAAATCCAACAATGATGAGAATAAAATTAAATCCAAGGAACTCGATATAAACAAAATAGTGATAAATCTTTCGGATAGACAGTTAAATCAACACGAACTTTCAATACTTAAAAAAGGTCTCAATTTCAATATGAACAGAACACGGATTTCGGCTTCTGAAATTATTCCGTTGATCGAGCCTGTCTTAAGCAATGTTCCGGATGATCAGGCAAATTCATTGCGGTTTAAAATCGCAGCTGCAATTTTGAATCAAAAACCTAATACGCCTAATATCTCTAAAGAAGAAACGTATGCCCTAAAACAGTTACGTAAAGACAGAAAAATTGTTATTATGAAAGCAGACAAGGGAAACACCACTGTTGTTATGAATAATTCTGACTATGAAAGAAAAGTCAATGAACATCTCAATAATGGACCGTATGAAAAAATCATGAAGAGCAAATGTAGAGCTACTTTAAATAAGTTGAAAGCTGAAACGGCCAAATTGTTACAGAATTTAAAGCCCAAACTAGGATCATCTTTATGGTTCTCTTTATATCCAAAAAGCAATAACCCGTGTAGATTTTATGGCCTACCAAAAATACACAAAACAGATGTACCACTAAGACCTGTGATTGATTACATTAATTCACCAACTTATAATCTTTCTAGATATTTGGCCAAAATTCTTAAACCATATGAAAGCATAATAAAATATGGAATAAAAAATTCTAATGATTTCAAAAACATTGTCAGTAATATTCGGATAGAACATGATGAAATAATGGCAAGTTTTGATGTTTGCTCATTGTTCACTAATGTTACTATTAAAAAAGCTTTAGATATTGTATATAATCTGTTAGATTCTGACATTGAACTTAAACAGCGTTGCCGTCTAGACCCAACAGACATTATTAGAGCGTTGGAGCTTTGCTTACATTCAACGGTTTTCATTTTTCGAGGAGTTTTGTACAGACAAACAGAAGGTGTGGCTATGGGATCACCTGTCTCTCCAATTGTGGCTAATTTATTCATGCATTCATTGGAAACAATTGCTATCTCAATGTGTTCCATTCCACCAAAAATTTGGGTAAGATACGTAGATGATACCTTTGTCATCATAAAACGAGATGGCTTAGACGAACTATTCCAACGGTTCAACAGCGTAGATGACAAAATCAAGTTTACTAAAGAGTTGGAATCGACTGAACGCAGATTACCGTTTCTAGACTGCCTGGTTGAAAGGAAGGATAATGATTTTTTAAAAATTAATATATTCCGTAAGCCTACATATTCAGGGAAATTTTTAGATTTTAAGTCTGCGCACCCACACGCGACCAAAGTGACAGTGGCCAAAAATTTGATCACCAGAGTCAAAAAACTTGTCACTGAACCAGATGATATAAAAATGGAAATGAATTTAGTTGTATCCACTCTATTAATGAATAATTATCCGAAAGGTTTTATTAAAAGAATAATTAAGAATGAAGAACGGGATGATATTTTTAAAAAAAGAGTTAAGCAAGATTGAATGAATACAGTAGTGATCCCATATCGTAAAGGTATCTCAGAAGACATCAGAAGGATTTTAATTCGTCAAAATATAAGAGTATTTTTTCGAACAAACAATACTCTAAGATCAAAACTAGTAAGAATCAAAGATCCAATACACAAGGATGATCAACAAAATTGTGTTTATGAAATCAAATGTAATGATTGTAATGCAACGTATGTAGGTGAAACATCAAGACAACTGAATGTGAGGGTGAAAGAACACAAACTGTGCTTAAAGCATATTCCTAAATCCTCAATTGATGTAAAAAAGCTTGAGAACAGATCAGCGATAGCATTACATTCAATTGAATCGGGTCATACAGTTGATTTCAATGGCACGAGAATCATTCAAAAAGGATTTAATTCTTACAAAGAACGCCTAACAGCTGAAGCCTTACATATATGGGCTAATTTAAACAATATTAATAGGAGAGATGGAATACAACTAGCTGCACCATGGCAACTAATAATTAATAAGTAAACCTGATCTCCTTTTTGCCATTTGATATATTTATGCCATAGTAACTAACTGATAGATAATACGTTCAATGATTCAAATCCGTTATCTTATCTGAATATGTTAAACAATTGACTGGAACATTTTAAAATAACACACTTCAATTACATATACATTCCTCGTTTATTTTGTTTACTTATCTTCATTTAATGCAGGCTGTAGCATTTTGATTCATTTCATACATAAAAATGATTTGTTTTCTTAATATACACAGACCGTAGTCAATATTAAGTTGAATGAAATTTTTTCTCATATCACTTGCGTATAAACACATTCTGTTATCTTAACACGTTTTGGTTCCATAACACATACAAAACAATTTGTCATAACCTTGAATTTACCTTATAATCCTTAAGTCATTCTATGGCCTAGGATAACATGACAATTTCTTATTTTTCTCTCCCCTTGATTATTTTCAAATGAACTTTTATTTTATTTGTTTGACCTTTATTATTTTTCATATAAACATGTCTCTTACACATTAATACAAATACCTATCTATAAAGAAATTCTTCACGTCGATTGGATGACTTATTCAGTGTACAGTAAACCGAAGAACCATGTACCTATTTATATTCGATAATTTTGTTGTTTGATTATATTTTCCTTGAAAAAGCTTGGACCAGATTGCCAGGCGAAACGTTGGATTTACTTAAAATTCATTCGCTGAGATTTTACAAATATATTCTTCTTTTTAATGTCTCAAAGGCTCTCAACATTCAAGATAATAGGGAATATAACGCTTATGAAAAATAAGGAAGTGAATGAATACTTGAACAATACTGTTTTGGCATAAGCTTGGTTGTTTGGGGTCAACTCTTAACCAACCAACCTGAGCTGTTACAGGCTCACCCATGGCTAACTATTCATCCCTAAGTAAACCATAATTGATATATGTCTCTTATCTGATCATTATTGTCATTACTATTCCCATATTTACCGCAATAATCTGTCGACCTCTACGCATTTCCCTTATTATCTCCGCCATCTACCTTTTATCCATCTTTTTATATTTATTCACGTTGTTTGCCTAGTCGGCAAATTTAATTACTCTGACTCTTATGCGCTCTTCACACTTCTACATTATAAATTTAAAATTACCCGTGTTGAAATCCATCAGTTCCATGTTTAATGATGTCGTTAATGTTGGTTCTCGTAACCTCATTTCGGAGTACAAATGCGCTGTTTAATGCTTGAGGAATTTTATCTCTCGAATGAACATCATATTTAGCATGATTAACGTAATATATAACCCACCCACACTGGACAATACTAAGGAACCAACACTACGTCGTGACATCAGGAAACAAGCAGAAAAAACCCAAATCTCTTAACTAGCTTCATGTTGAATATCGTTCTAGACGGGCGAAATATTTTCCAGGTCAGTGTTTCCAATCCTCGTTCTAATATAATTTTAATCAAGTATCACAACTTTTCATGGATATATCTGTTACTTCACGTGCCCAATCAGCTCTAAAAATGCGTTGTTCTACAATACTGACTCTGGATTCATTTTCGTTCGACGTACCAGTGCATTAGATGACTATGTATTTCAATTTCTTAAACACTAAAATTACAAAGCACTTATGGGACAAGCCCAGAAATCCGGCCGCTGGGTTATCTGGTGAAATTCACAAAAAAGAAGTATTTTGAGGTATGGAAATGTAGAACTATGGTCTACTATGATATTAGTACTGCTCTAATAATAGACCTATTCCTAAATTTGTAGATTTGTCATGCTAGAACTGCCTAATCTATAAGATCTTACGTGGAAGTCACACCATCGACTACACGAACTCACTGTATCGTGTCAATTACCAATACATGATGTAGAACAAGGTTAGGCTAGAGAAAGCACAATATATTTAATATGAATAGAAGATATAAGGTAACATTCGGCAGAGACCACGCGTTCATGGCCGAGCGATGCCACTCGATCAACTCCAATTCATTCAATACGTTCCTCCCGCCTTTTCCATCGTTAGGTATTTCTCAGCGTTAGATAGTGAACATCTATTGTAACGGGTGTGTGTGACTGCAGGTTTGGATACGCAGCGTTTATTTATCGGTTCGGGATCTGTGACAGTGACACGGAAAACACGTACGGACGACCTAGTGCCCTGATTGGCCCTGCTTCGCTGTCCGTCCTAGCCCAGTTGAGTGAAGAACACAAGTCACAGCCTCGGAGTTATGAATCATTGTATTTCAAACATACTCTATTTATATACCAAGCAAACAACCCTCATCGTACCATAAAATAGGAAACAACATTTGTACAATATTTAACAAGTGAAATAAACATCGACCAATAAGAAATGTACATTTAAGGTTCAAGGACACCATTGAACTTAACAATGTAATTATTGGTCTCTTTTTCCGACTATCCCAACACCTCCCCTTTTTCGAAAAATGCGGAGTTCATATCTGCGTTTTAAAATTTTCTGAGTCCGTCCTCCCCCGCGAAATAACGTTGGGTCCTCATATACCCAAGCAACAGTTAGTCTGACTCTATTTAAAGCATATTTCGTGCATTGAGTAGAGGGTTCACAAAAACTGACTAGATGAGGATTAGCGACACCAGACGTGAGGTCATTAAGGTTTGATTCTTGTGCAACATATTCTTCAGACCTCTTCAAAACTCCATCAGTGGGTATTAGGTCACTAATATAAA